TATAAATAAACTTGCTGTGCATGCATGTCATTTATTATAAATAGTAAAAAGGTATTTGAGTAAGTTAAAATATTTTGTCTATGGATTTATGTATTCATGTGGAATTAAATCCCTTGTTGGTTATACTGTATTATTAAATTCAAAATGTTGTTAATTTGTTTATGTGAAAGGATATAAGGTATTGTTCTTCCCTGCACTCTCCTAATAAACTACCTATTATGACATTTGATGGCTTTAAGTCAGTAACAAATACAATGCCGTCTACCCCTAGGTTGTAAAGAAATGCAAACTCTGTCGAACATGTAATATTAACTATTGATATCGATTCTGGAAAGACCCTACTGAATTAAATTTGGTCTGCCAGTTGTAGTGTTTTTAGAGCTACGTTAAACAATCCTGCATGTTCTACAAAGGTGACAGAACTTTTCATGATGAATGACGTAGGTCTTGTACCTCAGTGGTTAGAGCACAGGTGATGGAAAAAATTCAGGCTTTGCCTTCCTATTTATAGACTTAGGCTTAGTTGGTTGCTGTGGACCAAATACAGGTACTGTACAGTCAATTACATTGGCAGTGACTACTTGAGCACTACAGATAATGGATGGGAAACAGAAAGTTAGTGATTAATGAAGAGACTCACAAATGTAGCAAAACACTGGAAATGATGTGAAAAATGTGCTCCTGTAGTGTAATATATATTACCCATACTCCTATTCCACTTGTTGCGTAATTTTCCAAAATCGCATGATAAAGTAGTTAAGCCTTCGGTTGAAATCAGTACAGGTAATACACATTTTCATTTTTGTAATGATATATGATAAGTATTTTACAGCGTGAAGGTCATTTGGGCGTTTTGTTGAATTATTTTTCGTGTTTGATGGATGAAGCCCTGTTTTTTTTTCTTCGCTTAAAATACTGTATTTGCCATCTCTTTTCACGACACTGTGGAACGGGTCAAGGTATTCTCAGAGAAATGTACGTGAGCAACGTACGCACGTGCGTAATGGTCTACGTGATGACGTCAGGTTGTAGGTTAGTTATGATGGCAACCGCAGGTTGACAACAAGTCAATGCTGGATTGTAAACTATTAAAAGTTAGGGCTAAAACCGCGGTGCGGTAAATAAGGTGAATTTAAGAGGTTGAGCTCGTGCACACTTGAAACACACACAAGCGCGCGTTTTGGGGAAGGGTAAGTTAACGTAGCTTCAGTGAGTCCAAGTGACACCCGAGTGTGAGTGAGACCATCGTGTGTGCGTCCTGCTCTAACTTGACTTCTCACGTCAACCCACGCTCTTGCTTCTTCCCTGGGACAACTGTGAACAAGAAACAGTCGCCGAAATGAAATATACGCAGGAGAGCCAACCGACTTGCACACGTTAGCAGATGCTTAGTGTGCTAGCTGCTAGTTAGCCCAAAGTGCTGTTGCGAGCTAATGTCAACAGTCAGCTTCCAAAGAGACAGCTGCACTCCACAATGTTTGCTTGATTTTTGAATTTCGCTGAGCAGGTCAGCGGGAACATAAATGATGTCATCGTCACTATTGATAGAGGATCATCTATATTCACAATGCGTTTGTTGACATCCATGCATTCGCCACCTAGTACTATATTATTTTCGCACGTCTAGTATACTAAAGAACCATTTTGAGCCGCATTTTATAAACTCACTTTCTTTGTCTGTTTGCATGTTACAGTGGCACTATGCCCGCAGCTACTGTGGATCACAGCCAAAGAATATGTGAGGTATGGGCCAACAACCTGGAGGAGGAGCTGAAGAGAATTAGACATGTCATTCGAAAATACAACTATATCGCCATGGTGAGTGATAGTTGAGCTATTGTATTTGTACAGCGCCCTGAAAAGAACGTACTATAGGCATGGTGGTTTTCCTTTTTAGGTAACAAGTTTGTACTCCACAGGACACAGAGTTTCCAGGCGTAGTCGCCAGACCGATAGGAGAATTCCGAAGCAATGCTGATTATCAGTACCAGTTAATGCGCTGCAATGTGGATTTGCTCAAGATAATCCAGCTGGGCCTCACCTTCATGAATGAGCAAGGGGAATATCCTCCAGGAACATCGACATGGCAGTTCAATTTTAAGTTTAACCTGACGTAAGATGATGCTCCTCTCTCTCCAAACACTTGTCGTGGGCCATGGTGTTTAAATACAGTGAAATGCTTCAATGTTTTACACAACTGTATCCATCCATAAAATTGAAACTGACTCGCCCTTGAAATCTACATGTTCCCCATCTCCGATTCAGGGAGGATATGTACGCACAGGACTCTATTGAGCTCCTGACAACTGCAGGGATTCAGTTCAAGAAGCTCGAGGATGAAGGCATCGAGGCATTGTACTTTGCGGAGCTCTTGATGACTTCAGGAGTAGTACTGTGTGATGGGATCAAGTGGCTGTCATTTCACAGGTATTCACTCGACTCTCTTCATTCCATTCATTTCAAGTCTGTCTGCCAGTCACAAAAGTACATTACTCGAATGAGCAATATAGTGCCATCTAGTGGTGAACTCGTAGAATGCAACGACATGAGTTCGAAGCACTTGCGTTTTGAAACACCGCATTTCGCAAGTTTACCACCAATTGCTTTAGCAGAGGTGCAAGCAAAATGTCATCACAAACGACTTCTTGTATCCCCTCAAGTGACAAAGTAAATGTATAGCATTTGTTACACCTGCGGTAGTCGGATTGATGAGGAAATACATTCGCTAAGTTTGTCTCCTTCTGGTGTCTGAAGCCAAAAGATGGCGGCGAAACATGGCAGCCTCCTCCAGGGGAGGCACACTCAATGTCATTTAAAAAAAAACAAAAAAAAAAACCGTATTTTTGTGCACGTTACTGGAATTAATAGTGGGATTTTGAAATAATGAACATTGAAAAATCAACCAATTTTTACACACTTGTCACTTGGGATGGGATGGGAATTTCTGTCAGAAATATTCGGGCTGAAAGCAGGCCATGATCTGTTTCATGTGGTCCTTTGGGGTTGGTTACCTTCCGTCTGGCTAAACCTTTTAGTACACGCTCACTTGTCAAAGCTAGCCGTCAGATATGTGATGAAAAAGCCTCAGGGACACGTATGTCCAAATTTATGGATTTACACTATAATATATCAGCCATCATCTTAAAAATAATTGAAATTGTTACATCTCAAGACTCAAAATTAGCCGATTCACGTCATCGTATGGGAATCAAATTTAAATTTTGCCCCAAATTGTGAATGGACGTTTATCTGGCAAAGCACAGACCTGCCAAATGTTCCAGAAATCACTGAACGCTAACTCCCTCATTACGTCCATAAACACATCGGAATTGTTAATCGTTAATAATTGGATATTTAAAAAAACAAAACAAAACTCAGCAGTGGCCACCGGTATCAAGGGCTTTAATTTTCCCTCCGCTCAGCCGATCATGTAAGAGAACCCCCTCATGTGTGAGCCTGTCTTTGCACTGAACTGATGCATGGTGACGTATGAATGGAGTGTCAATGGTTAATCTATCGTGCAATTTGCATTGGTTCTCGTGGCTACTAGGGATGTCACAGTATCCAAATGTCATGATACACTATTATCACGATATGGAACTCACAACATGATAATTATCATGATATTGTGGGGAGGTTGGCGTAAAAAAAAAAAAAAAGCTTGTGATTCTGTATAAAACCATGATATTGTGGGGGGGAGAAAAAGCCCATACTGAAAAGCCCCCACAATATTGTGTTTTATTTATTTATTTTTTTACATAAGACAAACGATTGGCTTGTCATTTGATTGTCATGTGCTCCTATTGGCTCAGCGGCTCATGATCTATGGACTGCCAAGTTAATGTCGATTATCACATTATTATTTCGACTATTTTTAAATGGTCTGGGTGTTTGTGTTGAAGCCAGAGTCGTTCGTTTCACCCTTTATAATGTATGGCTGTGTTGCAGCGGCTACGATTTTGGATACCTAATCAAGGTTCTCTCCAATGCCAAGCTGCCTGAGGAAGAGATTGATTTTTTTGAGCTTGTTCGCTTGTACTTTCCAGTCATTTATGATGTCAAGTACCTCATGAAGAGCTGCAAAATTCTCAAGGTACACAACAGCTTGAACCCGGTTCATCAGTCTAATGCTTCATTTTGACCTGGGGTGTGGCTGGTGACATGATTGACAGTCATTTCATGTATTCAGGGTGGATTGCAGGAAGTAGCTGAGCAGCTGGAACTCGAGAGGATCGGACCACAGCATCAAGCAGGCTCTGACTCTTTACTTACAGGCATGGCTTTCTTCAAGATGAGAGAGGTAGGCCGCTTAGCAGAAAAACGAGGACTCTTGATTACTTTTGCACAGGTGAAATTTAATATTCCAATTGAGCCATGCTGTAAGTCGCATTCTTTTAATGCTGCCATACACTGACTGGCCACAACACAGTGCATCATCTAGGAATGCTTAAAATGAGCTAAGTACAGAAAAAAAAACTCTTACAGAGAGCTGACAGTTTCTGCTGTCATTTCAGCCTTCACTGAGCTGTCAGTGTCAATCAAGGCTGTGAACCGACTTCCTGCTGTCGCCGTTGAAGCAATGTGTCCCTGTTGATGGTGTCATCTCCGACGAGCGGACCTACATGCTCCTACACAGCCGAGATGCATTGCTTCGGCGGCGGCAAGTGTTTGGAGCACAGCTTAAATAATCAAATAAAGCTGTCGCTGGAACAAAAAAAGTTAGCCCGAACACAACACTATGATATGGTATGCGAGACAGTCAACAGACTGGCAATGATGCCAGCCAATCAGCTCACCGGATAAATCCACTCGTGCTGTCATTGGTCGATGACGCGCCGGGAACCAATCACGCGCCTTGTTTGAGTTGGCACGTACAAAGCCTCTGAGTCACGTCAGCTCTTTGTTCGGCATGCAGGGAAACATTCTCTCTCGCGCATCAACATGAAACGATGCGTCTTTCCGCGATGTGGGTGCTGATATGGCTGTATTTTTTTTTAAATATTTCTTTTTGGGGGAAAAAAAAAACACTAAACACTGAAGCCGTAAAACTTGAAGCGTGAAGTCGCGACGGATCACTGTACATTCACTCAGTCAGTTAAACTCAACACAGTCTTTATTGTTGAGGTTGTAGTTTGCCCTGGAGAGCTGCTTCGAATATTTAACCCTCTTCGTGTGACTGAAGAGGGTGCCCAAAATATTAGAAACAGGCAGTTTGACACTGCAGTATTCTCTTCTCTGAAGTCAAACGTTCAATGCAGCTCTTGCAGTGTGTGTGTGTGTGTGTGTGTGTGTGTGTGTGTGTGTGTGTGTGTGTGTGTGTGTGTGTGTGTGTGTGTGTGTGTGTGTACATGGAGTGAGTGTATTTATTTGTAGATTTCTATGCTCAGTGTATGCGTTTCCACCAGATGTTCTTTGAGGATCACATTGACGACGCAAAGTACTGCGGCCACTTATATGGGCTTGGCTCAGGATCAGCCTACGTCCAGAATGGAACAGGGAACGCTTACGAAGAAGAAGCTAACAAGCAGCAATCTTGACATCAATCCTCGCACCATACTGCACTTGGCGATGCGGCCAGAGGCCGAGCTTGGACAACCGGAGGATTAGAACGATAATCACGGAGGAATCGCTTCATTCAGCCAGCCTGTTTGTCATTGGTTCTGCTTGTGTCAGACAACTGAAATGATTGCTAACAGTGAGACGTACTACACTTTGCCTCACACGTGACACAGCTGCGCTGGTGTGAGCTTAATCAAGTACTCCTGCAAAACATCTGGTTGGTTCAGTACCATTTAACATGCTTGAAAAAAAAAGATGGGATTTTAGTTTGACTAAAATAATCTGTAGAATTGTTTTGCACTTTAAAGCTCTAACTTGATTTTATATGGAAAGTATGTGCCCTGACGTCTCTCTGCTCTCGGTTGCTTTCTCCACGTTCACATTTTACGCGGAGGAACACGCAGCGCTGACTTAATGTTCTAACATTTTGCCACACTCAGCCTTAAGATTAGCTGCATTCTTTTAAACGTTTAAGTTATTGTGCCAGTTATGGAAAAAGATACACACTCCTACGCTAACATACCACACTTTACCTTATTGCCTCAAAATGAGAAAAGGAGCTCCTCGTTGGGTGTGCTCGTAGGCACACAGATGGGAAGTCCTGTCATTTCTTTGCTTGTTTTGTTATTTCCACCTCAACACTCCCATGTGAGAAGTCTGTATTCCAGGATAATACAGTTTTTGCATGTGTGCATCCGAGAAATGTTGAAGCCGAGATTGGATTTGGTGTGCACATAAATGCTCTCTTTTTACGCTCGCTCGTGATTGCAGTCATGCTGTTTGCCCACACGGTGTCGCACTGATCTCCCAAGTCAAAACGTAGTTCAAACAAACTCACCTGATGTAGCACATGTAGAGGTCATCATGCTGGAGTACTCTGTTGTGGGTACATTTTCTTTTGGTTTATTTTAATGGAAGTTATTTTGGTAGAGTTTTAGTGTTGTAATAAAATAATTTTCAAAAAACAAACACTTTTACTCCTTTGGAAAACATCTAACATGCATCCTTTGAGGTTTGTTTTGGTGGAGCTCATGTGTAGCGTTAGCCTTTTGATGAGATTGTTTGTTTTATGTTTGTGCTGCTTTCCTGCTCTAACATGCTGCATAGGGGAAGCGCATGTTCCAAAAGTTTTCAACAAAAGCTTGTGTTGTTGAACCGTAAGCTAAACATTTGTATGTGTGTTTTCTGGCATATACAGTGCATATAAAAAGTCAGCACCATCTGTTGAAATGTCAGATTTTTGAGATTTAAATAGAATGAGACCACGGTCAGTCATGTCAACGCCTTTTCCACCATTAATGTGACCTATATATATATCCTGGGCAACTCAATGGTGAATAAAAGGTCGGTAAAAAGAAAGTCTGATATTAAATGTGGTGGCACAAGTGTGAGCGACCATTTAGAACTGGCCATTTGTGTTTTAGCTCATATCGCAGTTATTTATTTTTACTATCTCCAAATATTTTCTTGTTCAATGAAGTTGAACTGCTTACAGCTGTCTTGGTCTCATTTTTTTGAAATCACAAATCTGTTCTTATATCCGCTGTTGGTATGCCTCCAGTTCAGTGTCTTGTTGATGACTGATGTTTTGTTTTCTTGTTTGCAGTGTGCACTTGACACTGTCATGAGCAAGAGTATGCAATATAATATCAAGGGTTGTTTTTAGATTATTTTGTAAATAAAGGCTCAAAGCTTTCATAATGGAAATACCATTTTGCATCTTTGACTGAATGCCTGAATAATTTGTCCACAGAATGGAAAAGTGAACAAACAAGCATTTCTGTTTTGTTTTTTTATTGTTGTAAAGGTCACAAAAGAGGATCAGGTCCACATTTCATTTCGACTCACACAGACAGAATAGAAAAATATAGCAAGACCGTCATAATTGGGGCTTTAAAAACAAAACAAGGGTATTCAAAATTTACAGACTTGTTAAGTTTGAGAACGTACACATGCATCGCAATCAATTATGTTGTTAAAAAAGTTACCGGTAATTTACTCCTGTACTCCCAAATGAAATTGCAAAACTCAGACTCAAACAAAAAATGTTGTGATAATTGGATAAACCAAAGTGCACTCTAACCTTTTCACTGAACTTGATTCAATGTCTCAAAATTTTTTTTTAATACATGTCCAGCTGGTCACTGGTTGAGTCATTTTGACAACTTGCTGTACTCTGATGTAATATTTCTTCAATGTGAATTTTAGCTTAAATCATAAACATTAAGAAAGCCTTTAAATATTTCACTTGGTGTGTAGTGAATCTACAGTATGTAGTGGTGAGTTTCACTGTTACAATGGCACTATTTCAAATTTTTTTCTGATGATCAATTTTATCAAAATGCATCTTACGATAGTGGGAGGCAACCAATGTATGGCTGTGCAAAGAAGCCACAACACTGTACAGTTCTCGAATGCAGGTTAGTATGAAAACATATTGCTACTCGCCCTCTATTTACAAACAGTCAACACATTTGGGCAGATTGTCGACTCATTTTATCCAAGACAATATTATGGTTATGGTTTCTCTCGGAGAGCCGTTATCTTGTAACATACACAAGTGCCCCCTGCATTTTAATGGTATATATTTAACAAACAACTGGTACTCAGAAGACATGGAAAATAGTGACAAGCAAATATAAATGTTAAATTTATGACAAAGGGTTCGGTGAAAGAAAATGCATAGTATCTGTAGAAAGTGAAGACAACATTCAAATTTGGTGCATGTTCTCTGCAAAAATGAAATGAACAAAATCACTGAGCAAGAAATATGAAGTGAACACTTGGCAAGCTTTAGTCGGCCACAAAAATTGATGTCACGTGGTCGGATTTGGCCTCCGGACCTTGACTTTGACAACATAAATCCAGACTCGCGGGCGAAGTCGGGTAGGGGAGACCAGGGCCTGATGTCACACTTTTTACACTTTTTGATGGTTGTTGGAATCACTCCATCATATATAAACCAAATGTTTACCAGAAAGACCACAGTCTCAGCTATACTTTTTGTTTCCATTTTCGTATTTTGTGTCAGTGCAGAGTTACGAGGACTCAAAGAGAGAGTGAGAACATGTGACATGATGCCCCACCATCAGGTAAATTGTCCCACTACACGGGCTAAGATTTAACACCGGATTTTGCAACTCATAAAAAGGGACAAAACAACAAACATTCACACTCATAATCACACCTAGGAACAATTTAGAGTGATCACTTAACCTACTGTCCATGTTTTTGAAATGTGGGAGGAAACTGGAGTACCCAGAAAAAACCCATTCAGGTCCTGGTAAGAAAATGCAAACTTCACTCCTCAGGAACACCAGGGCCCAGAATTGAACCCATGACCTGTGACTACTGTGAGGCAGGCGGGCTAACCAGTCGACCACCAACATGTTGCCCCAAATTAGCATATTTGCCATTCCGAGCTCTAGTTTTAAGGTAGTTTAAATCAATAATCTGGAAGATGTTTTTTTCAAATTAAATTCACTTTTTTTTTTTTTTTTTTGGGTGGGGTCGTGCAAAATGGTTAACATTACTGCTCATCTCAGCTCACAACATGCTATTGTCTTCTTGGACATGACACGACTACTACTATAGGAAGAAAACAAGTATCCCACTTTATACTTGCGTCCTCTGGTGGAGAAGATAATTGCAACGTGACAACAAACCCCGATAATCCCCTACTACAGGCACATATTCCGCCCATATTACAACAAATCAGAATATAGCCCTTATTTTTACTTTCATGCCTATTTACTAGGTCATGTTGTTGTTTCCATGCATCCCGTAGTACACTTAACCACGAAGATACATTTGTCTTGATATCCTGAGATGAAAGCATGCAAAAGTTCTCGCTCCTGCTGCCATCACCAAATGAACATAAGAATCTACTTTTGATGTGCAAACATTTGGCAAGCTTAGAAATGCATACTGTACTGTAGCTTAGGCATATTCCACTCAATGAATAACCAGCACAAGATACACGACTACACAGCCCTTCCACATCTCTTTTTTTCCCACATATATCAAAAAAAGACATTGAGATCACTGGAATGCAAATTGGGAAGGATCACACTTGACTTTGAAAGTTCGCAACCTTCCAGACAGCATCAGGACATGCCGCCGACATTCGAGTTCACGCTCCATGTTTGGATGTCAGGGAAATACTACAGTAGACACCGGCGACGTCACCGTCGCGACACAACCCACTGAAAAGGGAGCAGCATGGACCTATTCGATTAGAAAAAAAATACCTGTGACATTAATTTTGTAACAGACCTGCAGATCATGTCTTTATGGATGTAAACTTACACTTCTCAAGAGGAGATCCGTGTCCCTACGCCTCATTTTCTGTAGTCATCAGCGGGTTATTTGTGCCTAAACAAATCCAAAGTTGAGGAACAATCATCGCAAGATTGTCAGAAAAATATGATCAGTTGAAACCCACTGTAGGGTACACTACAATATACCATTCTTGTCATCTGCCGCAATGTCGCTTTCAGTCCAAGAGGCGGTACTGCTGAGCAGTCGACTTTGACTCTCCCTCATTGGCTTGAAGGGGAAGTGGCAACTGTCTGTTTTACTGGAGGCACAGATATACACAAAAGAGCATCACGATAATCTACTTTAAAAAAAATTCACTTGATTTTCTCTTGTAATACAGTACTTATGTGTAATTATAATTAAGTGATGTTAAACACAAGGTCTGACAGATTGCCATTTGATGACAGTCCTTCAATAAACCAACACAGTTCATGTGGGTCGGTTCAAATCTCCGATTAGTCACTGATGTTTCAAGATCATTAAATATCGACACATGAATAATGTGTAAAAACGATTCTCTTTTGACTTGTTTGTAAAATCATACTTTTACGTGAATATGAAGATTTTCAATTTTTTTTTTTTTTTTTTGAGAAAATGATTGTGCGTAACCTTCTTATCCACATATAAAAGTCAGAATTCGCTTGGTTTGCTTTATTTCTTTCCTGACCTGTTCAAGTTTTGTTGAACTTTCTGAATAGGAGGTGGGTAGCAACAGCCATCTCAGGTATTGACTATGATGGCAAGGACACCAGGTTCTTTCTTTTATTTTGGAAAGAAAGTACCGTATTTTCCACACTATAAGGCGCTTCGGAGTATAAGTCTTGAATGAATGGCCTGCCTATTTTAAAACAGTTTCCATATATAGGGCGCACTGCATTATATGGCGCATAGAAGCGACAATAGTGGCTGATATTGCGTTATGCATCCACTAGATGGAGCTAAGCTAAAGGGAATACAATACAATATGATACAGCTTCATTTATATAGAGCTTTCACAACCGATGTAGCTCTAACAAAGCACTTTATGGAACATTTAAAATACTACAGTACATCCAAAAAAGAATATTGATCCATATACAAGGCACATCAGATTACAAGGCTTTTGAGAAAATTGAATGCTTTTAGGTGCGCCTTATTGTGCGGAAAATACGGTAATATAAGGTCTAATTTAGAACATTGTAACACCAATGAGTAATTTGACAAACTTAGTGGATGCAGACTATAACAGCTTTGTGTTACTTGTTATTTGTCAATATTTTTAACATACCCCTTTGGTGCGACGTTGTGGTTGGCGGGTGAATACTGTTGCTCAGGGTCAATATTCACCAGGCATGTTGGGAATGAGCAACCATCCCCTAAACTGAGTTGAGTTGAGAAGGTTAAACACAAACAAAATACATTCTATACGGACATTATTGGAAAGTGTCGGGCAATGAAGTCTGAAGACATTTTTGTCTGTTTTAGTGGGAGGTGGAGCACCATGGTTAGCGTGTCTGCCTCACGGGCTACAGGTTCTGTTTGCGTGTGGTGCATGAGCACTCAGGCTTTCTCCCACATTTGTCGTCCAGAGCCAGCTGAAATAGGCTCCAACTCATCTGTGAGCCTTCCACTCAACTTTATTCCTAGAGCACTTTAAAACAACCATTGCTGCATACGAAGTGCTTTACAAGGAGTAAAAACCTGAGAAAAATATAAAATACTCGCACAAATTAATAATTATCATCGAACAGTAATTATTAACCAATTCAATAATCTATCTATTAAAGAACCGATCAGTTGATCAATTAATTAATACTAACACAAATACAACAGACACCATAAAACACCAGAACAATAACGTGGCTCATACTGAGTCAAAAGCCAAAGAATAATAATGTATCTTAAAATGAGTTTTAAAAATGTACAGAGAGAGGGCTTCGCTAATATTTAACAGAAGGTCATTCCAAAGGGAAAGAACGGCACTGGAAAAGCCTCGATCTCCTCTGAGCCTCCGCCAAGTCCTCCGTACCTCCAGTCAGACTCGCATTTACTAACGGGCTTACATGGGCTGACTACATCAGAATTGATAATTGCCCAAACCAACTTAGAATACTGAGGACAAGCTCATTAAAGAAATAGAGAAGAAACTACGTCATAAGGAGAGTCGGATGGCTTCATCTAGCGAACCACATCCTCGATAAATAGCAAGGAAACATCTTCAAAGGAATTTAGGGGGGCAGAGATCTCTACTGTACAACAATTAGTGAACAATTTCAGAAATGTGCCCCAAGACGTATCATGTCAAATGACCTTACCTGGAGAAAATTGGAAAAGGCCAGTATTTGGCTTCATCACCAAACACTTGGCGGAAGTTCTTACTGGAGCCCAGACTGAATCCGTTCTTGTCTGTGCCATGACGAAACACTGGCGCACGAACAGCCTCTGATAAGGACAGCCACGGAGAAGAAGGTTTTATGTACCGCAATTGAATCGTCTCTAACATAGCGGAAAACATAACATGAGCAATGAAGGTCCCGGGCTGATGTCACCGCAGCTGTGGCTTGTCTTCCTGGGTGGCGATGTCGGGAACGTCTTACACTTCTGAGCCTTTTGTCTTGGCTGCAACATTCCCACAACTCTCCCTAGATAATCCACCTGCTCCATCCACTCACACACAAGCCTGTCTAATAACCAAAGAGGCTCACTAAACGACTGCACTGATGAGGGCGTTTATGCTGAGACGGTGCAAACAATCACCGACAGCAGATTTTACAGATCCACATTGAGGAGGCAGACAGACACAACACAGACGAGACCTACCGAGGGTGGATCTATTCTTGAAGACAAGCCAGCAGTGATAGACGAAAAGCGAAGCGAGGCTGACTGAGAACATGGAGGCAGAGAAGAAGAGGAAGAGAATGTGGAACTTGGCCTGAGTGTCTGGAAAGCCATTCTGTGGGGAGGGGGGAGGGGCGGGGAGCAATACAAATACACAAATGGATGTTAGCAGAGCAGGTGCTAACCTCTGGTCAAGCACAGACTACTTTCAGTCACTGGGAGTTATCTATTCTATTGTATTAACCGTTTCAGGGATAACGGTTACTACAGTGGACAGATTATCCTGTTATCAGGTTACCGGGTGCATGAAAAGGGTTAAATGGCTCAAATGGTTACCAGGTATTCTTTCAGACGGAAATGGGCTTTACCCCCAGCCTTGTGGGAAAAAAAATGTACAGTACGTTTGTTATCACCACGCCGTCCAAAAACAACTTTGGGTTTGTGTTTCTACTTCTTTTTCTACGACATGGATGCACATTTCGTGAAGCTACGCACATACCATCCAAAACTTAATGAAGTATTGAAGGTCTGTCGCAGTTATAAAAAGGCAGTAAAGTAGGGAGTACGCCAAAAACAGCATGAACGACTTGTAGTTGGAGAATCCCACACAATTGTTCACCCTGAGAGAATAAAATAAAACAGCAGTTAGAAAAAGAACATTCTTTTAATTCTGTATTCAACACCACAAACGCTCATCTTTCTCGCTAATTCATTCTATGGACAAAGTGTTTTAACACAGAACAGAACAGAATTCAACTGTTTCAATCAATCACAGGCGTGCCGACATACCAGGGACAGTGGTGATCCATTTTTAAGATACATCTGGAACACAGCATGGTCAGATACCAGCATCATTGGACCTTATCCTGTCAGTCAGTACTTCTTGTTTTTATATATATATATATATATATATATATATATAATTTTTTATTTTTTCCAGGGCACGAGCAAAGAGAGAGAGAGACATACTTATCACAAACTGAACAATGGTGACATCGATCAGGCTTCAGCAGCTGGCAGCGGTCACAGAAACGGATGGCTGAGGAAACAGACAATTTCATCAAACCATCATCAGCAGTGCCCTGCAAGCACTTGAGCAATTAATTAATTAAATGACTATAAATTATGTATAAATATATATATAAATTTGTCTCAATTTTGCTGCTTCTTGGTCGATCGAATTTCTTAGTCTGCATCATGTCTTAGTTCGTGTTCCTGCCCACACTCTGTGCAGGCCGCACTGCTGACAGCCCCAAGTTTGTTGTTGAATGGCTGGCTTATGATTTGGTTCATTTGATGATAAAATGGGTCAGATTTCCCTCTGAACATGAATCATCAAAACAAACGGAAAAATGCAAATAAAAAATCGGGAAGCAAAAGAAGTTTAACCGCATAATGTTTGCACGGGCTGAATTAACTCACAGTAAAAAGAAAAAGGCCTGGCCTGGGATGTTGCCACTTTACAGAATGTGGTTGGTGACCACCTGTTTTTTTTTCCCACGCTACACTTGACCTACCTCCAGAGTTGGTGCGTGTGTAGATTGGCAACTCCTTAGCTATTCTCCTCAGGATCTCCTGCTGCGACTCACCCCGGTCTTCACGCTCCAGCAGCTCCTTGTCCGAATAGGACAGGCAGAACTTTGTCGAACAGGACGCAAAGGAAATGCAAAACAAAGCTGTCTTGACTGTGCTTGTTGCTTTCTACCCATACATTTGTCAATGCTAGTGGAAACATTTTGGAGCCTGTCTGTATAGGAACATGTTCAAGGATGCAGCGGAAGCGCGCAATATAATCTATTTTTTGAAATCATATTTATGAATCCTCCATGGGTCTTTTGTGCCCCATGAAGCAAACATCAGCAGGGTTGAGATCTCATCCTTCTGTAATTGTAGAATCACAATTATTTTATTAAAATGCACTGCATGTCAAAGTTAAAATTTGTACGTCAATAATTGTTTGAAAGAAACCATTGTACAAGATCAATTGCAACTGCCTTGTTCTGGAAAGTTAAATACAACTGAACTGTCGTGGGCGTGCAACACTTGATCTACATTACAATCACCAGAGTGGAAATGGAGTCATGTCAACGAAATAAGTGCATTTTTCTGTCAATGCCCTCTGCAATGTTTGTGTGTTGTCACTGCCTGCATGCAGAGCTGAATTTAAGTGGCGAAGCTACGAGCGCAGCATCCGACCGAACCCCTTGGCACTCGGGCAGGAAATAGACTTAGTCCAAAATGCGGCACTTAATCATTCGGTGAGACCGCCGTCTCCCTCTGCACTTCCCACAATGCCTCCGCTCACGGTGTCAATCACGCTGCATCGTCGTCTCACTCACCTCCCTCAAAGGGTTCATGGGCTTGGTGAAGATGGTTTGCCAGTAAGCCCAAATAAACATGATGAAGATCACGTGGTACACCATTAAATAGACAACTGAAAAGGGAAACAAATCCAAGTGAGTTATCGGTCAAGACAAACAGTCACATACAATTGCAATTTTTGAAGAACCAAATCATCTTCCTAAAGAAGCATCTTTCAACGTCATTATCATGACTGGGGTGTCTTGCAAAGCTGCAGAAAACATCCACCGAGTTGGAATAGCATGGACATGAAAAAGTTGCATTCAACTCAACATCTGAGGCTTCGAGGCTAAATCATCCTTCTTGATTTTGGGAGGAGATTTCATGAAACACTTACCCTTTTCCCACGTGTCTTCAATTGAAACTGCAAAAGGAAAGAAGCAAATACATGTCAAGACGTTCCTGATTTGGAGATTTTATTTGAGATCAGATGACCTCTAGCCTACATGCTTGCGCTTTATAGACAAGAGTTTAGGAATCTCTCAGTGACTCATATGCTTACGTACCTGTACATAGTGCAGAGCTAAATAACGGCATCATTCTGAGAGATATTTTGAGCACATATTTTACTTTTATATGAGGCATTGCAAACATTAGTGCAGCACAATAGCATAGCATAGCATAATCGGAAAATTGGTTTTGATTTCACGTGCAGCATGTATTGAGATGCATGTTGAATTATCATATTTCTCTCTCTCTCTCTCTCTCCTCTCTCTCTCTCTCTCTCTCTCTCTCTCTATATATATATATATATATATATATATATACATATTCTCTGAGGAACTGGTTTGGCTTCTTTAAATTATACTCAACTAAAAAGTGACTGCTGTAGTTTGTGTACCTACCCTTATCATAGTGTACATTTTCAACAATCGCTACATCTTGTAAATAGATGGTCTGAGTGTTGTAAGGCAGATGTTGGTTGCTTTAAAAAAAAATGGGTCAACCGCAGATTGCTTGAGGTGAATTATATAAACCCGACAATGGGATTAACTGAGCTGCTGAACGAGAGCGTCAGCTGACGCCGGCTCCACACAACTGTGTCTGTGTCTGTCTGTGGAGCACATGTTAGCCACTGTCCCGTCCTCTTGTTTTCAATTCGTCACAGATTCGCCAGTTGTTCCTCTGGAGGAAAACATACTTTTTATTGGACCTCCATATCCCGTGTATAAATAATGTCATGCTGTGCTTGAAATAAGTCGTCTTCAAACTCCAGAAAATCATTCCAGGCGACTCACTCACCAGGTCTGGGTCATGGTTTAAGAGTGTTTATTCTGCTTTACTCCCTTCAGTTTTACACTTTTTAAAGAGAGATTTGATTTTAATTTCCCATTATTACGCAGGTCAACTGCATGTTCAGCATTCAGGGATTTTGTGTCTGTCTGCACACTCACAATTAATGTTCAGAAGAAGAGAGGAAGAGTCTAAACAACACAGGCCTTGCTCCATTCTTGTCAATACATACGCACTGCACTGTTGGATTTCAGATTATTTACAAATGATATTAACATGACCGTGAGTCTTTAAACTGTTTAGAGGGAGTTAGTGAGGTCTATGAACATATCTTGATAACAACCAAAAAGAAGCTTGGAAACAACAACATGCAGAAAGATGTATGCATTTCAAAATGGTGCCTGGACTGTCAAGACCATGTGAGTCTTTACACACCTCACACACAATATTTATAGACAATATCAGCTTGGGGGCATTTAAAAAAGAAACTCCTTCGATGATCAAACCAGACGCACGTCTGACAAGGCGCACACACCCCTACCCCACATGCACACGCAGTGCCCCGACATGCGTTCTCTTACCCAAACAAAGCTGCACAACGAAGGCGTAGTACGACCAAGCCACTATGAGTGCGATGAATAGGACCGGGATCCAGTAGAAAACTCTTTTGCAGCCCCGTTTGACATTACGTGAACCTGACGGTGCCATAGTCTAGGAGAGGATCATATCCACTGTGGGAATTCAACGCGAGTGTTTTTTAGCGTGCGCGTTTACTCGCCGATGTGCACGCGCGTCCCGGTGTCTCACTGAGGACTGTCAATGCATCGTCTCCTCAGATGCGATCAGCCTCATCAATCCCAGAATCCCCCCTCAACATGTGATGCTGCAGCATGCTCAGCCTCAGACACTACACACTACGAGACGCCAGTAGCTCCGCCTCCAGCAGCCATCACCGCCCACCCTCTTGCGGGTTGCCATGACGGCCACGGGATGCTGCAAGGCCGGCAACTTTTTTTCCACCCGAACCAGATGGGTTCACTGAGTTCATGCTCCAGTGTTAAAATATGACAGACTGAGGCAGCCGAGAATTACAAACGCACATCTCATTAGTCATTGACATGTGATTTCATTGTCATTTTAGAAAAGGGGTACACCCAAATAATAATAATACAAATAATTTAAAAGACAACACGGGACTTTATACGTGTGTGGATTGTAAAACGTATTTACAAGAAAATCGGCGCTACCACCCTGAGGTTTAAATTTGTACTGCATGGCATGAGAGTAAGTGCAGAGACTATTGGGTGGGGGAGGGGGCGGGTGTTTCCCAAAAGCAGGGTTCCTCGTTCTCCTCTCGAAATAGTGTATGTTGAAGTGACTTCACTTAGTTGAATCCATCCATCCATTTTCTAATCCGCTTATCCTAACAAGGGTCGCGGGGCGTGCTGGAGCCTCTTCCAGCTGTCTTTGGGCAGTAGGCGGAGTACCCTCTGAATAGGTCGCCAACCAATCTAAGGGCACACAGAGACGAACGGCCATTCGCGCTCCCACTCACAACAAGGGACAATTTATAGTGTTCCATTAGCCTGCCATGTATGTTTTTGGAATGTGGGAGGAAACCGGAATACATGGAGAAAACCAACGCAAGAATATGCAAACTCCACACATGAAGGCTGGAGCCGGAATCGAACCCATGACTGTGAGGCTCATATAATCAGAAAAAAAGAATGATCAGAAAAAAAATAATAAAGTTTGTCCTTTTTATTACACCGACTTTGTTCTTGACCAGTTCACAAAGCAGCTAACACAGCTCCCGTGTCCTCTTCAACAAAAATTGTCTTTGATTTGCCACCCCAGCCCGATTACTGTTATTAGAGTGAATGAAATTAATATCACAATAAAAATTGACTTTCTTTATTTAATTTTAAATGACTTATTCAGCTATATATATTTTGTAATATAATGTTTTCCGGGACCCCGGTATCAGCAACATAGTTGTGCCAAAAACAACATAAAATATGAGATAGCGAATGAAACAATTCATATGTGTGCCAATGATATTTGAACTTGACAAATAAAACCACTGGATTTTTATTACCTGTTTTTAGTGACAAAAATATGAGAGGTGATCAACGATAGAATTATTTCTTACATAGCCAAGTACATTCCAGACTACTTTTTCTTACCTTACTGTACTCTAGTACAAAAGTTGAATCAGCACTTGTACTTTTGCCAATCAGCGCTTACATTTTTGCCAGTCTTTTTTTTTTAACACACTTATCTGTACACCTACTTTACAATGCAGAGTGTGAGTACTTTTGCAGGACAGTATCTGCAACCGTACCAGTTATTGGAGAATCCTGCCCTATCTAGAGGGTGCGCTTGTTTCAAGTCAACCATTGACATTTTTCTCTTTTGCGTAAGTGCCCGCCCTAACGGGCCGTCTCGTTTATAAAACGAGCGTGTCCGTCTTTGCTAGGCAGCACGTGCCTCGGCACAAAAACATCCCGAGCGACTGCTTCAAATACAGCGCATGGTGGGAGCTGGCAGCTGCTTTTGCAAGCGGACACGACACAATCCGAGCCCAAACTTTCAACCTCTGAGCTCGGTGGCAAACTCAAAACGTGGAGACGCTTCCCACCGTGAACCTCTCGAAGACGGGCACTGTTTGTGCGAAGACTGACAGCAAGGGTTGTGAATTCTGAGGGATTTTCAAACGAAATCTCTTAAAACTCCGTTCCCTGCTCCAACCAAAAAGCGAACATGTCGACAAATCAAGTGAAGAGCTGTCCCATTCCTACCAGGGTTCTCACCCTGAAAGACTGGTCTCAACTTCCCGACTGCTACAGCCAGACTCCCGGGGGGACCCTCTTCTCCACTACGCCCGGTGGTAAGAAATGTTGGAAGGCACACTTCTGTTTCACATGTGACACATTAACCTTAAGGAGCTTACTTTGCTGGAAATTGCCTCTCAAGAATGCATCTACGAGATGGGATGTCCAGAAAATTGTTCAAAAACACACGCACACGAGGAGAAGTTATCGCGAGATGTTGCAATTAATCACGCGCAATCTTCCCAACGTGTGATTTACTGCGCACGTGCGTATAACTTATAAATATACGGCTTTGAATAGCCAGAATTTGAGGAAAGATATGTGAAATGTATACATGACATTTGATGTACTACGTTCCAACTATGTTGTTTCGCAACGTCCGCGTTGAGTCCACAATGCTTCGATAATGTGATGCCAGGTCTCAATACACGAGTAGTTATGAATAAAATAATGTAAAGTACGGTGTGGAACACCGACATAGATAATCAACACTTGCGCCTGAATAACGTATAGCCGAATTGTGTACAGTGAAGCCAATCGTTTCTGCTGGTATAAACAGGATTTGGAGAGTACCGCCCAGTCTTGGGTTTTCAAGAGGGTGTTTATTGTGTTTCCAGTACAGTAAAGTGATTGGTTGCAAAGAGGCTGGAGGCTGTCTTTTCTCTGCTCTACATTGCAGGAACACAGAACATTTTGTTCATGCTACGAGGTAAACTGTGATCATCTAATGCAGGGGTCCCCAACCTTTTTTGCCCCACGGACCGGTTTAAGTCAGACAATATTTTCAGGGACCGGCATTTAAGGTGTGGCGGAATTAATACAACAAAATAATATGGTATGAGCTGCATGAAAACTGTGGTGTTTTCGAAATATAATAATAAACACAAGGAGCGTCTAATCTGGTCGCAACACTCTTATCGCTCTGGTAATGTTTAATGCCTTCAAAATACGATACAACGCAAATTCAAAGTGCATGAAAATGACGACTCACCACAGCCCCGAGCTTGATTTTCTGCAATCAGACAGTCCCATCTCGGGGTAATAGGAGACAATGACACCTCAAGTGTGTGGTTTATGTCCAGTCTACTTCGTAATTTTGTTTTCGTCGCTGTTGCTGCATAAACTCCCCACCTCACACAGGTAGGATGTCGGAAATAGCAACACTGCTATTGTGGCGATCTCAGAGTATTCAGCCATAACTTTGATCCAGTTGTTTCGAACGTACTTTTAAGGCCGCCGTCATTTGCGATCTCCAGGCAGCTTTTTTACTCATTTTGCGGGCTTCAGCGTTTTGTTTATGAGCGTCATCGGTCACGTGACCGAGAAGTGTGGCTTGACGTGAGTCAAGCGTGACACAGACGGATGTAACAGAGAATCCGGTAATTTTTCAAAATAAAACAAATTTCGTATTCCGAAATAAATAAAACGGAAATAAGGCAAGTTCTTTCTGTGCGGCCCGGTACCAAATGCCCTGCGGACCGGTACCGGTCCGCGGACCGGCGGTTGGGGACCCCTGATCTAATGGATTGGACTGATGAATGAAGAGAAACCTGACAACAAAAACATTTGCAACAGATTGAAATTTATCATCAGCAACACAAGACAGAATTACCGAGCAATGAGAAATATTGATTACAGAAACTGCTGTAGACTAATGATTCCTATATTACAGTCTGCCTTTTTTTCTTGTGACCCCACTTATCAGCCCTCCTTTTGTCCTGGACACATTGCTCAGAGTGCAATCATTGTGTAACATGTTTTTACCCCCCAAGTGGACAGGCTCATCAGATGTACCGAATAGGTCAAACTCCAAAAAAACAGAACACAAGTAGCAGATGACAACACGTCTGTCATTTCAAACACAACACAGCACTTTATGGCTGAGCTCTTGCAAGTTGGCCTTAGTCCAATCCTTGACAGACTCTAAACATTGCAAAAATACTTACTGACCTATGATGTCTGAGATTTTGAGAAATAAATACTTGATGAGTTTCTTTTCCTTTAATAGAAATGCTACAACTCAGCCAAAGACCAATACACGTGGCTTTAATCTCCCAGAGTGTTTTCAAAAGGGAATGTTATGTACTCTCATTTCCTAGAAGTCATTGCTGGGACACCCTTAACCCCTCCCATCCGCCTTCCCACACTTGCATGCACGTACACATGCTTGTGCTTCAAAAACTGGTTGTTTGCAGGAGGGAATTTGGTTCGGTTTGAGCCTGTAGAGTGCCAAAATATTCATCTTGGATAGAAAAATGCAATAAATTTTTTTTTGTCATTGCTGCAGAAGCAATGAAAAGCAGTTTAGCAGGAGATTTAGGGGGTCCAAACTCACCAAACTGTTGACTGCAGCATCTTTGACGGGTACAGAAAGTAGGATTTCACATGATTGTTGCTTGAAAAAAAAAAAGAGGGAGAGAGAGGGAGCCGATGCCAGCTGATTGAGCACGAGGCAGAGTACACCTTTGACTGATCGCCAGTTAATCGCAGGCTGCATGCACAGTGGCTATGAAAGTCTACACACAACTGTTGAAATGGCAGTTTTTTTTTTCATATTAAAGAAGGATGAATCATTTCAAAGCTGTTTCCACCAATACTGTGAACTAGAATCCTGTATTACACAAGTCAAAACACAGTTTATTGTTTTTACATTCCCTCTCAAAGATTTCTTTTCACCATTTCATTTGTACAGGTTATGGGTCACAGTGGTGGTGGACAAAGTTTTGTCATGATTTATATTGGTCTAATTTTGTTGTCACTCAAACCTGGCATTTGAACAGGTGTGTGTATGTGTCGTCTTTTTATATCCACTGTATACAAATAACTATAGGACATTCACATATGGAAAATGTCAAGTCGTCAATCAACCTATAATGCAAGTTTTGGCAATGTGGGGTGGTAGTGCGGGGAAAATGTGCAAACTGCCGGATTCGACATTTGACCTCTCGATTGTTAGCAGACGTCCGAAACCGCTGCATTGTGTCTCAACTCTAAATCCATCCATCAATCTCTCACAGGTACCCGCATCATCTACGACAGGAAGTTTCTCTTGGATTGCAGGAACTCCCCTCTTGCACGCACACCCCCATGCTGTCTCCCCCAGATCCCGGGGGTGACGTGCCCCGCTACTCACCCTGTAAGCAAACTGCAGGATGTGAAAGAGGAGGTTGAAGAGGAAGAAAAGGACGTTGCAGGTAATTTTTGCACATCCAATGAGCTCTTTGGAGATTAATATTGTGAAATTGCAACTGCTCTAGTTGTCTGTACATGCCCACCGCTGGTGTATATACTGAAAAACTGATTTTGACAAGCGCTGCCTAGGAAAAGTGAATTGGAATGCTCCCCAACAGTCCTACATATTGGCTCAGAGAAGATCAGAGCATCACGTTTTCACATAGATAAAGACATTTGGCATACAATTGGCGCCAATTGTGAATGTAAAATTGGTGTGGGTGCACAATGCATATAGATGTCACTTTAAATTTTGTTTACCATTAGTATTTCCAAATTGTAACAATTAATACCATATATACACATGGAGCATTTTCTTGAAATATGACAGTCTGCTTTTTCAAAATACATGTAAAATACTACAAACAAAATTGAAATGGGCATGTTTGCTGGGCCCTCGGCAAAGCTTTTTTGTCTCGTGGGGCTCCCCAAGCAAAATGAATTGGCCACCACTGCATCAAGGTTGAAAAAAGTGTGAAGGGCAAATATCAGTTTGCCTTGAGGATTATGCCCCTTCTCTCGCTATTGTCTGCGTCGGCCTGGACAGTTTGCCTAAGCTCCTGTGATGGCCACACCCTCTCAAGTGTTTATATTTTTGTCCTGTCAATTGTGGCTGTATTGATAAGGGTTGTTGTCCGTTTTCCTCATTGTGTCCGTTAAGGTGTGGTTTTCTTCGAGCGGCTTGTCAGTGTTATGCCCTCTTATCTCCATTTGCTCTCTGTCTCTGTCCCTCCTTTGGAGCAGATGACAACCAGTTTGAGATGGACATCTGAGCTCCAGTTTTTCTTCCTGTGGAGAGTCATCCATCAAAACACCTCCATGGTCAGTACTGACCGAAAAGCGTTGCCTATAAGCTTTTTTTCCTTTTTTTTTTTTTTTTTTTTGGAACCAAAAACAATGGAGGCTAGAAAAGCAGGATGTTTTTGTTGTTGTTGTTGTTTTTCTATGAACCCGAATGTGTTTTTGCTTAGACATGGTACTGGTTGGGTTGCTTGCTCACTTGAGCAGTTGTAGGATTTGGAAAGAAAAAAAAAAGATGTAACATTTTATATATTTTGTATATATTACAGTGTACTATGCAGCTTGTTTTTTGTTTTTTTTTTTAAGTTGGCAAATTCAAGATTACAAGAATTTACATTCAAGTCAAGTCAGCCTTTCTCCTGCAGACTTTTTTTTCGTGTGTGTGAGTAAGTTTCCCCTACTATATAAGGCACTCTGCATTTGCCACAAAGTGTCTACTTTCTTTGAGGGGTCAAGGCCTGTTAAAAATCAGCTATTTTCACAGAGGGAGGGATTCAATGTGAATAATTCCAAATAAAGGCTGCTAAAAAAATGACTGCGTTTTTTTTTTTTGTGCACTTTTGATACACATACATCATGTTTTCGTTGGAGTATCTGTGGTTATACTAAGTTTACGTGTTCATTTGCACTTCGTTTCCAGATGATTACAATTACATTGTGTGCTTGAAGAGTACTGTATATCACTTTTGCTATCTCGCGAGAGTCATGGGGGTGAAAATTACTGGTGCAATGGCAAATCATACAGCCACATAATTCTTTATGTTCATGCTGAGCAAGGTAAAGTGTTATATAACTGCATTTTGTATGCAGCTTGTTTTCTTCACTGGTGATGTTGAACCCTGAACCCTGAGTCAAGCAAAGGCAGACAGACAGACAGAGTGATCTGACAAGAGGGGCAAAAAGCTGTCACTCTCCAGACACTACATTAGGTACACCCGCATAGTTGAAGAATGCCCCACACATGAATGGTATCAGAAATTATATTCTGATAATAAAGCGGTATCAATGTAAAGAGCCATGTATTTGCATTGGTGTAGCACTCCTATGCAATGCGAGAATCAGAGTGGTTTCTAATTTGTCGGTTGTTTATTTATATGAGCAATTGGAGGCGGGGAGAAATAAATACAATTTCTTCTAGCCTATAAAGTCGAAAGACAACTGTGTGTTGCTTTTTCAGGCTTTCCAAAGTGCATCAGCTGGTTGGAAGGGGGGTGAGGCACAGCGCCGGAGATTAGGAGAGGGGCTGGTTTTAAGGAATGAGGGCAGCTGCAGCCTAAAGGACACACAGATTGCACACTCTGAAATGGGGTGGAAGAGTGTGACACATTTTGGTGTTTTAACCAGCACTCATCTCAGAAATCTTGTATTCCCCCAAAACATGATGTTAAGGGTCTAGTATAAAACTGGTGGCACTATTCACCTTGCGGTGATCTGAAATGTAACTCTGTTCCCAATTTATGACATGAGAACAATCCGCTACGCCCATAAGTGTAAACTTCAGGGTGCACAGTAGCTCAGTCTGCTCAGATGTTCTTTTCTCACGAGCTTTCATCCATCACCCAAAACTGTCATGTACTGTGTTTTAATATGCACACACTGTTGCTTGAACTCTCATATACAGTATTTACCATTTTGGTGACTGAACTGCCCAAATCAATGTGCGTTAATGCCACACGCTTAGTCCAGCTTGCAAAATAAACATCACTTTGCCCGACAACATATCCTGGAACTTGTTTTCTAAAGCCACGTGATAAGATTGGATTCCTCACATTCAGCCTGCAGTTTGCGCACACTTGGATGTTTTTTGTGAAGTGTGCCTGTTGACCTACATGTGCTGTTTGGACAAGAGTGTGGGAATGCACGTGACACCAACATCAGGTGCCAGCTAACCGAGAGCCACTAAGTCTGAGTGTTGAAAATTAAACTTGAACAAATGCTTTTAATTGAAAATTCCTCATCTTTTTGTGGGAAACCGAAAAGTCAATGACTCGGCTGCTACACACTCATTAAAATGTTCTTGGTGAAATGTTTGGTCATTGCATCACCGTAAACAACTTCACTGGAGACGGATACTCCAACCTTCCCTCCTGAGTTTAAAGTGAACTTGAGTAAATTGCGCCATCGCCCTATTCCACAGTCAAAATATTCCCCTCTTTCCATTGCCACCTCCTCCCCTTCCCTCATCTAACGCTCCAGTTTCAGGGGGGAGGAAGGCTGCTTGGACCGGGGCTGGTTGGCCAGGCTCTATTTTTGTCAGCTGCTGCTGTTCGAGGTGTTGGAGGAGCATTGCTGGGGTGACAATGTAAACAGACACTCAAACACACGGCCTGCTTAGTGGCATGTATCAGAGTGGAATGGAGACTTGGAGCGGCCCACTGACCACGAGTGTACTGTATACAGTACAAACCACCGCCACATGAGAACCGGCAGAATAATATACAGTGGAAAAGATGTTAGGTATCCTACCTCTACAGAGGTAATATTAATTTTAACACCCGGTTGTAATTGACACTGTCAGGGAGATGTTCCTTTTACACATTTAAAAAAAAATTATCGTGGTTGGAATTTGCAGTTACAAATTTGTATACATTGTATATATTTTCTATATATATATATATTTTGACTACTTTAGCTTTAACTGTAGTCTAGTTTATTTTGGGGGTATGTGTGTTGTGGCTTGAAAAACTAATTTGCAGTAAACTGTATTACATGTATTATATAAGTGGAATAAAACAAACAGAAACCAATGACGGATTGTAAAAATTGCATTATGGAAAAAAGTTGTATTTTAGAATGAAAAAGAAAAAAAAAAAAAATATATATATATATATATTTTTTTTTTTGCATACGTCAAATTTTGTTGGAGTCTATAGTACTATTTTTTCAAGAACAAAGGTGGTTTTATTTAATGCTATTTTTAGAGCATCAAGGCAATTTATCCGAAATAAATATTATTTTATGTACCGTTATATTTTTGAAAGCACACTCGTAAAAATGACTTTCTTCCCTTCTTAAACATGACATATTGCTCTGAGAATAGTGCACACTTGAGGATTAGTTGTCATTCATCTCAAAAAAATCTGCAAATGGTTTTAATGTTCATTTGACGAATAAGTTACTTTCTTGTGTGTTGTAGATAGCACATTTAGGGTCTGTATTTTGACAGCTGCTGCCAGCCAGACTATTCCTTCATTTATAACCAGTAATAAACACTTTCACGAACATATTCTCTGAAGATAACTTTTCCTGTCTCTAACCATATCTTCGATTGCATAATGTGCCACAGGCCCTGCCTGGGCATAGGCGACCCAGTCGGTTGCCTCGGGCGCTGCAATGGATGCCAAACTGCTGTTAAAAAAAAAACAAACAAACAAACAAACAAAAAAAACACGACATTGAAATTGATATAAACCATTAACAGTTATTTTATGACTTAAAAGTAATGTTACAAATTCGACGTCTTTTGCAGGGGCCAGATAAAATCTCAGCTAGGGCACCACATTGGTTAGGCCGGCCCCTGAATGTTCCTGGGATGAAGGGTTCCCTCCTTTCTTGCTGGTGAATTGGGCAAGTGATTATTTTGTATCCTGGAACGCATTGCACAACACTATTGGAACAATCATCATACAATTCTTTTATAATTTCACCACTACAATAACTGCAGATAGAGTTTAACAGTGTCATCAGCAGGTAGCGACCCAGAGACCCTAAGATTCATAGGAAAGATTCAAAGTGGACATCCTTTAACTAAATAAATAAATTGATCAATAAATAAACAGCTGTTGTGAATTTTTCCATTGAGTCCTTTGTCAGGGCGCACCATTTGTGCTGAAAGAGCTGAAACATAGAACAGTGGGGACAAGTCAGTTTAAAAAAATTGAGATCAGATTGAGTTGACCAGGAAAGGTTATTTTGTTTAATCCTGACCCCAATCCCTCACGTTCTTTCACCAAGACTATTCTATAGAATGCATTTACAAGGCTCGTGTTGTTTTACACTGGGAGCATGCTTCCATCTACTGGAAAATGATGAAACCGCACGAAACTGGATGTTTTTTTTTTTTTTTACATAATTTTAGCTTTGTCCTATAAAACAATATCATAGACATTATACAACGCTGCAAATTACTTCTCACCTGTTAATGATTAAGATGAATTACTGACTTATCTATTTTTTTTTGGACTTGGTGCATCTCGATGTTGTCAGATGATCATGAGTCACGATTTTCACTGAGTGGTGGGGTCACTTAATTTCCCGAACGTCCCTCCCAGATGGTCATCTCTAATCTCTGATTGGACAATGACGGGTGGTGGGGCCACAGTCATGGTCGCAGTCATAGGCATGTGCATACAGCTGACTCGCTAAGGGACGAATCATACGGCCTCATTACCGCCTTATTGGATGTGGAGCGAATTGTGGGCGTCTCGTGTGTATACTGTATTGACCCTTTTACAGGCAGATCATGTGCATCTGAATATAATTTGCACACTGTATTTTGTGCATAATTCCTGCAGAGAAACAGAGAACAAAGAAAAGAAAAAAATCCGTCTTATTCAATTAAATTGCCCCACTCGTTACTTTTAGTTTCTTACTTGTCTCATATGTTATTCCGCGCAAATGGGCTGAAGACACAGTGGGGAAAAGTTGTCAGTAGTCCATCTCCAGTGATTGCCATTATTACCAGTTAAATTCATATAGTTCAGACTGAGACACAACAGTTGAATTAAACAGTGACAAACTGGTGAAATGATAGGTAATCCTAAATGGTACTTGATCCATTGCTGTATTCAGTTTAATTCATTGCACTTCACTATATTTTCTTGAAAATACTTTTTTCAAGCACATATTTGGATTGGGACTATTTCTGGTCACTGGAATATTAGTTTCATTTTGTTAATACATTTAAATTCATTTCATTGTGTGTCTGTACAAAATATGTATTTTATTAACAAATGAAAAAATGATAATAGAATTAGTTTAAAGGAAGAATATAGCTCGATGCTTTAAAAAAATTCTGTCATTCTATTTTTGGGGAAATTTTATGTATCAAAAGTGATGGTGTTTTTTTGACTGGCAACCAGTTCAGGGTACCCCCCGCCTACTGCCCAAAGACACCTGGGATGGGCTCGATCACGCCCCGCGACCCTTGTGAGGATAAGCAAATCTGAAAATGGATGGATGATTATAAACCTTTATTTGGGATTATAGGTCAGCACCAAATCAACATGTTTTCATTTGCTACTCCATGTTTGTAACACACTTACTGTGATGACAATAAAAACATTATGTTTTTGATCTATTTTCCAAATATCTTGTTGTGTGTGTGTGTGTGTTTGTGTTTGTGCTTGTGTGTATGTGTATTTTTAAAAAATTCAATTTACTTGCATGAATCAACAGGCAGAACTGACACATCCAAGATGGCGAATGTGAAGTAATTCAGCAACAGTGCAACCTTGGTCGAAAGAGGGATCTATCTCTATGGTCGCAGTAGCCAATCACGTGTTTCGTTTCCCACAAATAGCGTTTTTTTTCTCCCCTTTGCAATGACGTCATGTCCCGCTAGACGCACTCGACGCTGGCCCTGAAGCCATTGTAGACTGCGGTGGGAAAAGAAACGTATAAGGAAGACGGGATTTCTGTAACGGAAACAAATCTAATTCAGCTGCTGTTCTCTCGAAGGTAAGTTTTGCTATATGCTCATCATGGCCGACAGTTTGTTGTGTTCGTAAAAGCGGAGTCATCACCAAGTTCAGTGTTTACACAGCGGGTTGGGCTTGGCCTACAGGTGCACTAAAACTGTTTCCTCGGCGTCTTGATCATGTGGGATTCCTGCAGTCATACTAATAGTACTATGTCTACAGTTAAACACAATTAAATTACTAATGTCTTTGGACAAAAAAGACAAAAACCTAGTAGATGATGGAACTATTGTATTATTACAGCTTCATTTACGTTGGGGAACCTAGAGGTGAATGTTTGCTGTTTTTACCGCATCCGAGGTAGAAAGGAGCAAATAAAGGCTGCCAAACTTGTGGCTGGAGCAGTTTTCACCTTTTTAGAGAGCAGTGTGACGTATTGATGCTGCTTCAAAGGACTGCAAAACATTGAAATGGGTTTTTGTCAGTACATACCAAAATAATCATCTTGATATTGATGTGGAAACACTGGATTCACACAAGGCCTTACAAGACGGGGTTAAAAAAACAAAACAAAAAAAAAAAAACAAATGGACCCACACGTGACGATACAGCATTGAAGGCGAATTGTTTTTGTTTTGTTTTTTTAATTTTCATCTACTATCAACCTTTGACCTTTTTGTTATAAGATCATTTGTAATCATATATAGCTGAATTTGATGACTGTTGCCATGGGTGCAGGTCTCATCGCCTCCAGGTGAAACAAAGCAAACCATTTAGGCCTCGGGTTCCTGCTCCCAGAGCAGCGTTACCACAGTTACAAGGCTTTGCCATCTGTCAGCAGAAAGAAAAGAAAAAAATCCGTCTTATTCAATTAAATTGCCCCACTCGTTACTTTTAGTTTCTTACTTGTCTCATATGTTATTCCGCGCAAATGGGCTGAAGACACAGTGGGGAAAAGTTGTCAGTAGTCCATCTCCAGTGATTGCCATTATTACCAGTTAAATTCATATAGTTCAGACTGAGACACAACAGTTGAATTAAACAGTGACAAACTGGTGAAATGATAGGTAATCCTAAATGGTACTTGATCCATTGCTGTATTCAGTTTAATTCATTGCACTTCACTATATTTTCTTGAAAATACTTTTTTCAAGCACATATTTGGATTGGGACTATTTCTGGTCACTGGAATATTAGTTTCATTTTGTTAATACATTTAAATTCATTTCATTGTGTGTCTGTACAAAATATGTATTTTATTAACAAATGAAAAAATGATAATAGAATTAGTTTAAAGGAAGAATATAGCTCGATGCTTTAAAAAAATTCTGTCATTCTATTTTTGGGGAAATTTTATGTATCAAAAGTGATGGTGTTTTTTTGACTGGCAACCAGTTCAGGGTACCCCCCGCCTACTGCCCAAAGACACCTGGGATGGGCTCGATCACGCCCCGCGACCCTTGTGAGGATAAGCAAATCTGAAAATGGATGGATGATTATAAACCTTTATTTGGGATTATAGGTCAGCACCAAATCAACATGTTTTCATTTGCTACTCCATGTTTGTAACACACTTACTGTGATGACAATAAAAACATTATGTTTTTGATCTATTTTCCAAATATCTTGTTGTGTGTGTGTGTGTGTTTGTGTTTGTGCTTGTGTGTATGTGTATTTTTAAAAAATTCAATTTACTTGCATGAATCAACAGGCAGAACTGACACATCCAAGATGGCGAATGTGAAGTAATTCAGCAACAGTGCAACCTTGGTCGAAAGAGGGATCTATCTCTATGGTCGCAGTAGCCAATCACGTGTTTCGTTTCCCACAAATAGCGTTTTTTTTCTCCCCTTTGCAATGACGTCATGTCCCGCTAGACGCACTCGACGCTGGCCCTGAAGCCATTGTAGACTGCGGTGGGAAAAGAAACGTATAAGGAAGACGGGATTTCTGTAACGGAAACAAATCTAATTCAGCTGCTGTTCTCTCGAAGGTAAGTTTTGCTATATGCTCATCATGGCCGACAGTTTGTTGTGTTCGTAAAAGCGGAGTCATCACCAAGTTCAGTGTTTACACAGCGGGTTGGGCTTGGCCTACAGGTGCACTAAAACTGTTTCCTCGGCGTCTTGATCATGTGGGATTCCTGCAGTCATACTAATAGTACTATGTCTACAGTTAAACACAATTAAATTACTAATGTCTTTGGACAAAAAAGACAAAAACCTAGTAGATGATGGAACTATTGTATTATTACAGCTTCATTTACGTTGGGGAACCTAGAGGTGAATGTTTGCTGTTTTTACCGCATCCGAGGTAGAAAGGAGCAAATAAAGGCTGCCAAACTTGTGGCTGGAGCAGTTTTCACCTTTTTAGAGAGCAGTGTGACGTATTGATGCTGCTTCAAAGGACTGCAAAACATTGAAATGGGTTTTTGTCAGTACATACCAAAATAATCATCTTGATATTGATGTGGAAACACTGGATTCACACAAGGCCTTACAAGACGGGGTTAAAAAAACAAAACAAAAAAAAAAAAACAAATGGACCCACACGTGACGATACAGCATTGAAGGCGAATTGTTTTTGTTTTGTTTTTTTAATTTTCATCTACTATCAACCTTTGACCTTTTTGTTATAAGATCATTTGTAATCATATATAGCTGAATTTGATGACTGTTGCCATGGGTGCAGGTCTCATCGCCTCCAGGTGAAACAAAGCAAACCATTTAGGCCTCGGGTTCCTGCTCCCAGAGCAGCGTTACCACAGTTACAAGGCTTTGCCATCTGTCAGCAGTACTGACAACATTTTGAGGTAAAAGGTCACTATATATTGGACAAAAGCACAAATTGGGGAACCAAGGTCAGGGAAGTTTTTATCGTGACGGAAAACATATAACTCAACCCCGGAGTTATCACAAAATTCCACAATACTTTGACCGTAATCATGTGGTTTGCTTTTCCATTACAGATAATCATCAGAGGTAAAGACACCATTCCACTTGTGTGTGTGTGTGAACCTCTGATAAATACTGAAGCTACTTTTTGGAGAGGCGAACGTGAATGTGGCTACATACTGTACGCTGACCTGAAAGCAGTTATTAGGTGTTTGTAGTGTACATACTTTATAGTGAGCGACAGAGGAGGCTTTCATTTTCCATTGCTGTGGTTGTTCTGCATGAGCAAATTCAGCCAATGAGGCTAGAGCAAGAGTTGTGATGTTCCAGGTGTCATTAGCAGTTTTGCTGCGTAGGCAGGTAATAGTTCTTGATCCCATTAGAAATTCTGGAAATACAACTTCCTACTCGCAAAGTCCAGAGTGAAGCAAATAACCTTAGGACATTGCTCGGAATGTGTGAAAGTGGTTATGCACGTCGAATTTGACTCGCGTACTGTCAGGTGTCTTCGCACTGACTCAAACTTTCTGTACTGTTACCATGCAAAAGAAAAAAAAAGGTCAGTCCCCATCTGTTTTGCATTTCTCTCTTTCCCATGGTGAATGCCAATTAGCCTTTCGCGGTGTCCTGTGACTTAAGCGCCTCCATTTGTGAAGTCTGTGTGAACAGCAAGATGGTGGTCCCAATATGCCGACGTGATTGATCATTGAATCACAATACATTCCTGCACTGGAAAACTATCTTTCTCCAGCATGCACAAACTGCTGCATATATTTTTTTGTGACTACAACAGGCCTGAAACAGGCTTATAGATCAATGAAAACCACTAATGCCCTGTTGTGAGTTGCATCATTTAAGTGGCTTTCAGCAGGGAATTCATTACCTTGTGTGGCTCTGGAGGGCAAGTCGCAGCACACAAACACTTGAATGCATCTGTGTTAAAGTCCAATGACAACCAGCGCACCTAAGAACATGACGATCACTTTGTTCCAGGTTTTGCTATCAACAAACAGTTGTTGATAACAACATTGATTTTAGCTGTTGCTTCTGTATTGTAACTTTTCAGCCTCACCAAGTAAGTTTAGACAATTCTGTGCTTGGTAAGCAACAGAATTCATATTGGGTACTGTTTGGGGCATTCTATTTGCTGCTGCAACCTGCGACCTACTTGGCTGGCTAGCGTACGTGGCTCAACACGATGCCGAGCCACAAGTTCACTTCATGTCTGGCGTCAACACGGCACCGAATCGCTACTCATTGCCTCCAGGGCAGCCAATAAGCTGCACTTCAAACTACCGGTAGTTATCATTTTCATGATTCCAGGACAGGGGAGAGAAAGACGGAAAAGCCATGATACATTTTCATGGCGACCTGAAGATGCGAAACACCGAAATAAGGGATTGGGTGATCGCATACACTTATCACCATGTTACACAGCTACTTAGGGCAGCAAACAAAAAAGTACATCACCACATACGTCAGCCGAGAGTACGGTCCCATAAGGTTAGAAGTATGTTAATACAATAAATATTCTGTTGTGATATGATATAAGATAACCTTCATTGGCCCCACAAGGTGGAAATTGACATTGTTTCAGCAGCAAAAGTGGATACAAGTAATAAATAGAAAAATGCACGCAATAAGTACATTGCAAGAGAAACCGACATTTTGCCCACGCTTAAAACTATCTCAACCAATCTGTCAGTGGTGTTATTTTTTCGTGAGCCAAATAGAGTGCTGACTTTTAATTTGGACTCTTTCTAACAGTTGAAAAGCGAATCGGCAAAGGCCAATTTATCCATAGAGACAGATATTTTGGACGATGGCACACCGCAGTCCTCATAGCTTGATTCAGGCTGCAACGGTGTGCACCATGACGAGGTTGTTGCTATAAAGACATTACAATAACAAATATTGACGCCATCATTTATTAACAAATATTGTTCTTGAGTAATGACTGTGTTATGTAATTAACAGGTGTGTATAATTCTTGTTATCCTGTGACGTAATAGGCTGCAGTCACCAGTCACTGTCGCAAGGTTACTGTTCTTGGCAAAATCAAAAAAAAAAAAAAAAAAGAAAATTGGGATAAGTTGTTTGTGTGTTTATTGAACATAAAAACTTACAGTAATAAATTGACAGAAAGTAAAGGTAAGCAAAATAGTAAAAAAAGAAAACAGTCATCATACAACACAATTATATGTTCAAAGGAGTAGGAAGAAGTAAAAAACTTATCTAGTCCTACTCCATGTTATGTATTAATATACAGTATAAATAGATCATTTTTATATCAATCAGAAAAGAAAGGAAATGAAGTCCTAAAGAAACATTTAATTGAATTTCAACAGTAGAAAAACAAATAGAAAGTTACTTTGGCCTGAACTGAACAACCCAAAAGTTAAACTGGCATTTTGTGACATTTTTTTTTTCTTTCGCAAAACAGTATTGCCTTGAAATAGTTTTCTGCATGGCTGGTGAACATTTTTCTTTGCATGCCACGATCTGTAACATAATGTCGAACAAGTTGTCTTCGTTTTAAAAACATCCATTTTATATTTTCACGGTGTGCTGATATGTTCAGCCTCGACCCCCACCCACCCCTCTCCCTCACCGCAACTGTGCAGGACACAAGAGTGTTGGCAACTTGAGGATCACTGTTTGCATTCTCCCTAACTGGGTTTTTTTCACACAATAGTCACTTAAGGGGTTGGCAACATCACCAAATCCAGCAACATGGTGTCTTAGTTGGCGTACCGAAGACGCAAGTGCTTGCTTTTGCTTGCCTGCACAGGTGCACATTAAAAATAAAAGCACAGAGCATCGTTGACGTTTTATTTTGCCTTCATGAAAGACGGCCAGGGCGAGTCAAACAGTCCACGGCTGACCAGATTGTTCCGGTCTGATACAGTGTATTTTGTATTTTCTTTTCAGGTGATTGCTGAGAGATGAATCCAGACCAGCCGCCCCCATACCCAGGCCCGTCCGCTCCGGTCTACCCCGCCCAGGGCCAGCCTCCTCAGGGCTACCCGCCTCAGAGTTATCCTCCGCAGGCGTACCCTGTAAACATGCAGCAGCCTAATCCAAATTACCCAAACTACCCACCTGGACCAATGGGAGCCGGAGGTCCCTATCCAGGGCCAGGACAGCCGCCTTATCAGGGATATGCTGGACAACCCCAATACGGCTGGCAGGGTGGACCCCCACCCGGACCCATGTATGGAGAACCTCCTAAAAACACGGGTAGGTGGGAGGACTGTTACAACAGAGGAGCACTGACGTGATTATGAGGATTATCTGAAGCGGTTCAGAGAATGGATGGACAGAAAATTATCAGACTACTAATTAGAGTACTTTAGACAAAATAAATACATTTTGAACATTTTTAAATCTATTCATTTTTAGGGGTTAGGGAACTTTCCATTCGTTTAAATGCTTAGAGATCGTTCCGCAAGTGCTTTGAATTATGAGCGTGGTCACGGAAGAAAATCTTTTCTCAAGGCATCACTTGACCTGATTGTTGTTGTTGACGACAATACTGAAATGTGCTAAGGTCCAACTATCTTAAGATATCGCTTTGGCCTATGGTTGATCAAGACCGCACACTCGTTAGTAATTAACCATAAAGCACATGTATCACGGCTCACATCGGAGGTCAAAGTTCATCATAAATTCATCTTGTCACTTCAACTTAACTAGCTGCTTGTCAAAAGCTGCTTGACTGTTTCCCCTGCCTCCACATGAACGATTAATCCCCAAAACGGGGATGGAGATAGCTTGTCGTTCTCGTCGTTTTTTGTTTCACCTCGTCGCGAATCAGCGACTGGTAACCGAATCCCACCCTTCCCCTGAAAGCTTGAAAATGATCTGGCTGGTGATCGCCCAGAGCAGTGCCAGTCTTACTTCAGTGTAAAAAGTTTGTCCTTACAACGGAGACGTCCCCTTTCCGCCTTGATTAGCTTAGTTGGAGGGAAATCAGAGCAGATCCTGGCCATGCAAACTCAACGCTGGAGACTTGCTGCTTCATTTCTGTCCGTTCTCTTTGATTTGATCAACTTTTTCGCGAGGACATTTGGAATAATAACCTTTCCCTCTTTCCTACGCAGTGTACATGGTGGAGGACAGAAGAAGAGACAACTCTTCGGAGACGTGCCTGACAGCCTGCTGGACAGCCCTTTGTTGCTGCTGTCTCTGGGACATGCTGACATAATATTTCTCCGCACCTTTATTCCGCTCTCGATTTTCTGTGTGCCTCAAAACACTCGCGTCCCTCCTCCCCGGTTGGCCTTAAATCTTGTGTCCCTTCTTAATCTTGCCTTCGTTTCCTTCAACACGGTGCCTCGAACGCACACTCCGTATCCCACTTAATGTCAATGTGAAGTCGTCGGCACCGTCTGACTGAGTGACCGACCGGCATCAGGGGCAGCTTTGTAGCAGCAGAGCTTCATTACCTACCCCGAGCATACATTTACAGCGAAAACAGCTTCCGTTTGGTTTTGGATTGTTTTGCCTATTGATGACGACATGTCAAAAACAATCATCACATGCACGCTAGGCTAGTTAGTTGATGTCACTTAAAGTAAAGAATGACGCGCACAATGGCAGAGCAGCAATTTGGCCTTCAGGTCTTCAACAAAACCTTCACATCAATACACGCACTCTTTGTTGGAGAAGCATGATAAGCGCACAACCAGTCCTCTTGCTCGACCCATGTTGTTTTTGGTTGTGACCTACTGAATGAACACTGACATGCACGCACGCCCTTGTTTTAACCGACAACCATCTTGACTATTTATGCTGAAACAATAACTTCCACTTGGAAGTGTTTTTGAAAGGTTTGCGCTTGCAGGCCCGGGAAAAGTCAAAACACTGTCTATTTACTGCTCAGAATGGCGTTGTGTAAATAGCACCTCGTCGCCGTCTTTGTGCAATCGCACCACGTAACGTGAAAGAATGCGCAAAGAAACTCGAACACAGACACGCAGCTTCTGTTGCGCTCAGGCTCATCTCATGTAAGGGTCTCAAGCACTTTATGATGATTACCTCTGCTTTTATGTTCCTACTCCCGTCTGCTCTCCTCACCTCCTGCGAGCTGCCTTTTTGCTTTCTTGACTATGTTGCTTCATGTTGATCCTTCGTTGTCCCATAAACCTGCGAGTCACATTCTACCAGTGAGCTGGAGGGTGGTCTCTTTAGGAGCTGACAATGGGAATGTTTTTCCTTCTGAGTTGCACATTGTCTTCAAGTAAAATCAAAGAACTAATACAATTCACGCTTCCTTACTTTTACCAGGTTGGCTTTTAATAATCACAATTCTTTTCTCAACGCGATCTGTGTCATTAAAAAAATAATAATACGCGAGGGACGCAACTGAAAATGAGAAACAATGCTGTGATCAATAAGACGAATGACCCTTTACATGCCTGTTTGCTTTAAATGAAAATCTTATATTAAAATAATTTTTTTCCCATCATGTGATTTTTTTTTGGGGTGGCGGTTGTAGGGGGTGGTTGGCAACAGTGTCTAAATGAAAAGTGGGAACGAAGATCATAGATCACAATTCCCTCACTGCCAAGACTGGCTTGGATTCAGTCTATTCATAAGAACTCTTTCCACCCCCTCCACCGGTTTGCTTGCTCAACACGTTAACCTGTGTGTGGAGGGGCCAGTCCTTAGATGCGCAGAGCAAATATCGTGCTATGTTGGGGAGAAGTCATAGTCCTCCCGAATGAAAAAAAAAAAAAAACAACACAACAACAACCTTTTCTGTCCACTTCTGAATTTCATTCGCTGTACTGCTTATCCTCCCTTGAGTTGTGGGTGTGCTGGAGCCTAGCCCAGATGAAATCAGGCAAGAGGCATGCAGGGGTACGCCTTAATCACCAATCGCAGGGCATATACAGCCAAACAACCATTCACACTTACAACCTGAAGACTTTTGTGAACCCCACCATGCATATTTTTGGGTTTGAAAGGAAACCGCAGTACCCGAAGAAAACCCCTGTCGGCATGGATGAGAACACGCAAACTCCTCATAGCAGGGCCAGGGCCGGAATCTAACCCTGCACCTCTACACTGTGAGGCGGACGTGCTAACTTGTTAATTTCACCAGTTAGGTTTTAACCTGAGGTCTGCAAATATTTGTTGGATTTTATCGTGACTGATGAGTCACTTAATTGTGTCTGATTAATAATTCATGAATTAATTAACTATAATTAGGATTCCTCAGCTTGTGAAATCCACTTGTCTCAAACTGTAAGGCCTCAGCTTCATTCCTTTTCTTGAAACATTGAAAGAAGGAGCCATTTTTGCCCGCTTTCTGGACAATGTCATCTCATCCTTAATTCTCAATATCTTGACAAATTCTAAATGCTATTTTTTTTTTCAGTTTTCAGGCTCCTTTCAGTGACATTGGTAAAAGAAAACTGATGAAAAAAATGTGTGTGTGTATACTGACAAGATACCAGCAATACCAATTAGCGTCAGCCATTTTTTAGCACAACCACCGACAACATGATTGACTTGCGATTTTTATTTCTGTCAGAGGACAAGGACAAGCCCCTCCTCTCCCTTGTGAGACAAATACGTTTTCTTATCTTATCTTAACTTATCTTATTTCTTCTCTGTTGTGGCGTGGCGCAAAAGAAGCAGGTACATTCCGCAGTATTCACCAGGCTTCTTTTGGCGTGCGAATTTGCAAATACCGTGACCCAAAAAATCTGAAACGGAATAGTTCTGGCTCCAAGTTTAGTGTATGGGTCAAGAGATAGGAACAATGTCACTGTTTATGTCTATTCTGTCATCGTTATCCTGTCTTTATGGAATCCCATATCATGTCCAATAAGGCTTTCATCTTGGGCATTTTTAGTTTGGTGGGGAGGTGTCAATGTGCCCCATCCCGTGTTGAATTAATTAGTTGCCCGAAAACCACAACACGAAACAGATATATTGTGAGAGGTATATGTCCACTAACCAACTAAAAAAGCAAGCTGTTTGAAGCAGTCGAATTGTCTGGTCCCATCAACACTGATTACGTTAAAATGTAACTTTGAAAGTAAGTCGACTGCTGAAATTAGCAAGGGGAGTGGGGGAGGGCATGAATATTTACTGTGTACGGCAAAAAAAAAAAAAAAAAAGAGATGAAAGTGAACTAGACATTGTTGGGTTGAAATAAACAATCATGTTTTATTCATAAATTTCCCAGAAGAGTCTCGTTTTAGTGAGCGTACGTGTTATCCTTTGATAATACTGATTTGGTACAGTTTGACATCCATCACGAGTCTCTTCACAGTGAGTAGGATCCATTACTGCTACTGCTGTTGGGATCTAGGTCGGAAATCCATCTGTTTCCGAAAACAAAGGAAGAAATAAGAAAAAAAACCAAACAAACAAACATCAAAACTGCAGACTGATGCTGTAGATATGCAATATTAGAGTGCCACAAAACTCTAGAGGAGTAATACCAGCCAAAGATTTTGCACGTTACAAGCCACTTCTTAGAAATATAAAACTCGATATTCTGAACAATATTCTACTGTGCTGCATAAAGGTAGATCTATACACTGTACATTGAAATATATCTTGAAAAATCATTTTCACAGTTTTAAAGACTTTTATTTTGAGTATAAACCATTTTTAAACACTTTATTACATAAATTATTATTTTTTTTAAGAGTGACTATTATTTGCCCTGGTAGCAATCTAAAATAATACAAAAACACAACAAAATGAACATTTAATACATCATTTGCAAAAGAAAATGAACTCATACGTTACAATTCATTTTGAATTAAACTGACTGACTCATTCATGATTGTCATATATTACTAAGAATAAATAAATAGAAAATGAGTAAATTAAAATAAATATGAACTTAGCATGTTTTCTGGACTCTGTGAGCGGTGGGTTCTGTACAGAAGTGCCTCGGTGAAGGTCTCACAATCCTACTGCGACTGAAACATACAAAACTACAGCATCTACGGCATCAATACGCAACATCCTGAAATTTAGTGTAATTGGACACATACGTAGTAACATGTTTCTTCTCCCGGTTTAAAATCAACAATGTCGTGTAGTGCCAACGCCCACACGTATCGCCGTCTTTCTTCCCTTTTGCTTTGTAACGGTGCACTTTTCCGGTCCGTTCGTAGCAGTTCGCGGAGAGCTTCGGCTTGTGTGTTGCTTTGCTTGGTGGTGAAGTGCATCAGCAGACCGCTCAGTCAGTTATGGAAAATGGGAGGCCTGAGACAAGGTGACGACGCTGGACAAACTTCTAACATTGCCTTGTCTGTCTCTGGTGTCCTTCTTTGATGTGTTGTTGCCACGGCAACACAATGGAGTGTTGCCGTGCACTCTCGTCCTTTTTCCTTTCAGCGTCCAATAGAGACCCAGGAGCCGGCGGAGCTCCATTGAATGCTCAAGGGCGCTCTCAGTGTGACCCAAAGAATATGGGTGAAAATAGCAATCATCTTTTTTAAAAAGGGGAATCTTCTTATTTATTCAGTAGTGCCTTCTCACTTATTCAGTGTTTTTTTTTTCCCTTAACCGAAATGTAACTCTAGAATTTTTTTTGTTGTTTTTGTTTTTTGTTTGTTTTTTTTTTTTGCCTGCGGCAGAAAAATGAATAATAATGTTCTGTCACTCTTTTCAAAAGTCCCTGCAGCGTTCCATGAGTAACCCCGTTTGTTGATGAAATCTCCAGAGAAAAAGGGTTGAGGAGGCTGGGAAGGGAAAAAGGGCTTAGGAGGAGTTGGACAGATTCATGGTGGGCTGTTACCTCCTGCCCATCTCATTCTGTCGAAGAAACTGGATGTTGTTGCTGCTGTCAGCCAGTTCTGGATATTGCTCCACAGGCAGTACGTAGTAGCCGTCATAGCCTTGTACCCTGCCCATGGTTAGGAGCTGTTGTCGTTCTCCCTCAGTCCAGAGGCGGCTGCCTCCTTTTCCCTCTCTGGCCCTCTGCTGTTCCTTGGACCAGGCTCCCGCCAAGGCCCTCTGGCGAGCCAACTCCAACAGTCTTACCTTCTCCTCGTCCACCACGTCGGCAGAGAGCCCGTAGCGAATGCTCAGAACAAACGATGGCACCGCGAATTCCACCGTCACCCCTCTCCTGGAGCGGCCGCTGACTGTCACGTTGATGCCGCTCTCCAGTGACTTGCGGCCGTTCGTAAGCCCCAAGGCCAACAGGTCGCTGTCGGCTGAGCCAATTTTCACAAAGTAGTGGCAGTCCTTCCCATCCTGTGTGTAGTGGGTGCCTTCCAGGTACTGGGCGCCGTTCAGCACCAGAGCCACTTTGCGGCTGTCATCGCTGGCCAAAGATGACACGCCAGCCACCACTCTGCCCTCCTTGAGGGCCAACATCACTCCACGACCAATGATGGGGGTGCTGGTGCCGAACCAGTGTCCGGGCTTTTCCTTTCGTCTGCGCCGTTCCTTGTTGAGAAGACGACCCTCGAGAGCCATGAAGGCCTGGTTGTGACGCTCCGCCGCCTGCTGCACACCAGTGATGAGCTGCACGGTCCAAACAACAACAAAAAAAATGATTGTGAGATAAATTGATGAGAAGCTCACTGAGTGTCACAGACAAAGTTTTCCGATTCAGTACCTGTCCATTCTCACAGTGCTGGGTAGCCTGCAGCTCGTACGGTGGTTCGACAAAATAGAGCGAGTGCCTAGGGAATCCTGGGATTATGTTACTGAGCTGGAAGCCAAACATCACCAGCCAACTCTTCACATCTACAGGATCAGATACAATTTAAATTACATTTCTGAATGACAAATTTACACAGACTAGCCAGTCATTTCGGAATTTAATTTAAAAACATTTCTTTTGTGACGAATACAAAGTGCATGCAAAACTAGTTTCACAATGTTACCTGCAAAAACAACTTTAGATATGACTGACAGTTTTCTACTTCATGTGCTGGTCCTTTGAGGGGAAAAACATTAAAATGCCGTTCACGTGTATAAACACATGATTTTTTCTTACCTGTGACATAATTTTTTACATCTAACATGTCACTGAGGGGATTGTTGTTCTTGAACATGTACAGATTAAAAGGAGAGGGATCTTTTCCAATCTTGGGCCAGATGCTATAGTCAGGTGAAGTCCAGCGTCCAGCCAAGACATCGTAGTCACGCTGGGTGAAGTGGACCAACTTGGTCAGGGCGTCATACAGACCGCCATGAAATCCGACCACCAGCTGGAACTCCGGGTTGGAGTCCAGGTAAACCTCCCCATATGCTGTGTATTGCACCTGTGTGAGGAGAGCATTGACTTGTTTGGTATGAGGATACTCAGAAAACACGTTGAAACTTAGAGCGGGTAATAGGACTACCAATTTGCATTTGCAATACCTGTTTGATCATCTGTCCATTGCTGCTAAACACAGCCAATGGTGTGCCGGTGTTGTCAGATGCTATGTAGTATTCCTCTCCGCTGCTTACCTCCATGGCAAACACATGGCCCTGAACAAAAGAGATGACAATCCAAGTGGATTTGTTTTCACGTTGCTCCAATTTCCAAATTAAGATATTCATATATGCTCTGTATGAAAAAAAATATTGTGGCTTGGCTCAAAACAAAGGTCATGCCTTCTGGTTATACATCAAGAGTTGTAATTCCAGCATTAAACGAGAAGTTCGATACTCTACATGGCATTTGAAAAGTACAGTAAATTAGAATAGTAAAAAAATAAATAAAAGGAAGCTCAGTCTATGGGGACACAGCTCAGGAGTGCAGCACTTTGTGTGCGCCTCAACACTCTGACAATTCTCATGTGTGTGTTCTGGCTCTCTGTGTGGTGTGCAGTCAAAATATACATCATATTGTAAGTCTGATAGGTCCAATAAAAATGTTAATAAAACATGGAGCCGTGGCCTAATTTCCATTAATTGGTGCATTAAGTTCTTGCCAACATTTTGTCGCATATGTGATTCGAAAATTGGACGGCTTTGTTCGTCATGCACATCCAAGGGGTTAAGATTTGGACTCCCCGGCGGTCAATGTTATGTGTTATGATATCTCATGCTCTATGAGCCACTCCAAATATGCTCATTAAAATATATTGATGTCATCAGTTGACTTGATTCTTTTGGGAGCATAACATTGCCGAACCTTGACTGGAGCAACTGAAGCAAACCCAGGCCATAACATTGGCCCCATAAACTTCATGATGATGACTGCATCACTTGATCCACTCTGCTCTCCCTGATGCGGCCATCACATTGAACCAAGGTCAACAATTTGGACTCATCATAACACTTATTCCACCTGAAACCTCCCGATTAAAAACTCCCTACGGCTTTCTTAACAATTATCTTCCCTGATAATGCAAATAGACTTCGCGTGAACTTTGATGAATATCTGTTTAGGTGTCCCTGCAGTATTATATATGTCAGCATCAAATCAAATTTTCTTGCTACGTGTGAGCACAATATACTCATGCAAACCTACCTGAAGGTCATAGTAGAGTGAGGAGATTTCTGAGCTTGAATGGTTAAAAATGTGTGTCACCCTTGTTGGGTGGTTGAGGTCAGCATAGAAAAATTGAAGGTGCTGTCCAAGGCTGTTCCGTGTCGAGACCCTGCGGCCTAACCCATCATAGTGATAAACAACACTCCAGCCACCAGGGCCCCGATTGTAGGCCCTCAGCAGCTGACCCTTGGAATTGTAGTCGAAAATGTCAGAACCGCGCTGGCTGAGGTAACCGTCCTCGTCCAAACGGTACTGGACATCTCCAAGCCGCGTGATGCGATCACGGAGGTCATAGCGCAGCGGCATGATTCGGGCGCTGTTGCCAGGGTTCAGCAGATGAAGGTTGCCATTCAGGTCATAGCTGTAACGCCATGTCGACCAGTCGTTCACCTGAATACAAAAAGAAGGCCGGAGTGTCATGTCAGTTGCGCATACAACGGGGGCATCACCAGTCTAGTGTCTGATAACACAAGACCATAAATCATCATGATACGAACTCTTCCACGTGGATTATTCACCTTGACCCCAGTCAGCTGTCCGTCTCCATCATAGTCATAGCGATACTGAGTGGTGTTGGCATAGGGCCCGATTTTCAGCTCCCTCTTTACCACCCGTCCCATGCTGTCGTACTGCACCGTCATCCAGTACATGAGGGAACGGAAGATCTCGTACTGGACCTCCTTGATACGTCCGTGGGTATCGAAATGCTTACTCAGCGTCATCACAGCTGTGGTGATAATCTGATTAATGTCGTAGTAAATGACCCCAAATTTTCCAAAGTGCTCCACCTAGAACAGACGGGTTTGCACAATATATAAGTCTGATGCCATCCAAGGAACGTACGAGTACCGTATTTTCCGCACTATAAGGAACTTCGGAGTCTAAAGTGCACCTTCACTGAATGGGCTATTTTAAAACTGTTTTCATATGTAGGGCGCACCACATTATATGGCGCATAGAATAGAAGCTACAATAGTGGCTGAGGTTGCGTTATGCATCCACTCGATGAAGCTACGCTAAAAGGAATACAATACAATACAGCTTTGTTTACATAGCGCTTTCACAACCGCTGCAGCTGTAACAAAGCGAGTCACGGAACATTTAAAATACAACGTCCAAGAAATCAGAATATTGATCCATATATAAGGCACATCGGGTTATAAGGTGCACTGTCTGCTTTTGAGAAAAATGAATGCTTTTAGGTGCGGAAAATACGGTACTTAAAAATCACTTAGAAAAGTCTGCATATTCATGCGCAAAGACAGCACACCTTGCCAGAGATTTCATCATATCTGTAGAGGTCCACAGGTAGAGGTGTTTCACTGATGACTGGCTTCATGCTTGCAATCCGGAAGCTGTTGTCGTGGTAAGTGTAGTCGAACCTTGCGTTGACCATGCCCTCCTCACTGAAGCGATAGATTTGCTTGTCGATGAGCGGGCCCATTTTCCGATAGCGAATGGTGCAAGAGAATCCACCGCTCTGTAGATTGACCATCTTCAGCACGCCCGCTGTCTCATCGTAGCCAAACGTAACAGCGGTGCTGTCATACACAATCTCGGACAACTTGGCCAGCTTGCCGTACTTGTAGAGGACGCGGCGGCCGGTGCCCAGGTAATGTATGGCCTGAGGCCTGCCGTCTTCACAGAAGTCGTGGATGATGGAGGCGTTGCTCTCTGGTGGGTTGTAAGTGTTGCGGATGTACCCGATGGACACGTGTGTGAACATGGTGTGGCGGGCGACGCTCGGCATGGTGACTGCCGTGACCCGATTTGAGGTATCAAACTCAAAGATGTACTGCTTTTGGCTCTGCAGCAACAGCACCATGGACTGGGCAGAGAAAAAAGTTTTGAGTGACGTACTTTTCTCCGCATAATGTAACCAATGTTAAAACTGTACTTACTTTATCAAGGTAACTGTAACTCCAAACCTTCCCGTCCACAAACGAGCGAGACAGGATGCGTCCATGGGGATCAAACTCAGTCCTCTCGCTCATGCTCCCCCTCTGCAGGCCAACGAGCTGACCAGTGGATGAATAGGACACATTGACCACCGCCAGGCTGCTGCTAGGCAACCACATAGCTGGCCGGCCCTGAGCGTCGTACATGATGCGTAGGGTAAACTTGCGATGATCGTCGTAAATCTTCTCTGTGCGTGTGTTACGGTCAAAGTCAATAGAGAGGAGGTTGCGACCGTGTGCCTGGAGGAAAAGTACACGTTTACAAAGATGACTTCGATAAATATGTATTTTTCACCATCTCCTGCGAGGGTTATGGCTGTAAACTGATCAACTCACTCTTAGCTTCCTGCCAAACACTGTAATTTTTCCTTTGGTCTGCTCCTTACGCAGACGCCATTCAATGGAGTTCAGGCCATTGTCTGTGGGAAGTGTTATATTCCTGCGGCCGATGGTAGGGCTGACATATCCTGCCAGGATGTGGGGCTCCGTGTGAAAACTTATGCCCATCCCATTGGCGTACATCACTCTCAGGGTCCCATTGTTGCACATCTGGTAGTTGTTCCTGACTTGGTCTTCACAGAGAAAAGAGGTACCAATTTCAAGAATGATTGCCAGACCGTAATACGATGAGTCAGTGTTGGACGCAGCAAAACAGTTGTACCGAATGCCCTTTCAGGTTAACAAAGCTGTGCCAGCATTACTTTGTTGTTATTAAAAAAACAGAGGCAAATTAAAAAGAGACCTATTCAACTGCTTTTTTTCCACAATGTCGTAATTTGCAATACCGTAATAGACATATTTGATTGAATGCATTCGTATTTCGTAAGGTATTCTATTACTTCGTTCGTTTTGTGTGTTGTGTTTTTGTTTGATTGTTTTTCCTGTTTGCATTTTGCCCATTAATCCTTGCCTGTTCATTGTCTGCATTAGTATTCATTTTAAAGTGGCCGTATCATGCTACTTTAAGCTTTCAACAGTTCACACTAAGCTAAAAAAAAAAAAAAAAAAAGGACTGAGCATTTTAACCTGGCTAAAAGTTCAAAAAAGTTCATTTAGCATAATATGGCCCCTTTAATATTCAATCAATTCCACAAAAAAAAAAAAAAAAAAACCTGACAAGAGATCTAAATGATCAGTTAATCCATTACGACATCCATTTACCTTAATGAGATTTTAAATGTGGTCATATCCTTCACATACGTGTTCATTTGTGTGAGACGATTGTGCCCGCTACATACAGTATTTATGACGAATCTGACTGGATCCTCGTCGAACAATCTCTATAGTACGCTGAATAAAATCTCACATCTCTCTACAGCGCTCCACATTCCTTATCACCACAGTGTAATGAATCCCTGGCAAACACAAGAATGGAATCAGATAAGACGACGTCTAATGTTGAGCTTAAATTCTCTCTCCCAGGACTGAAAGCACACATCTTAATCACAGCGAAGTGACTGAAAGGGAGATAAAATTGTTTTGGGCTTAGGAAAGGGGAAGCATGTTCTTTTTTTTTCATTTAGAAAAGGTGAAAGGGATCAGCTGGTGCCTCCCTTTGAAACCCCACCATAAATGACAGTAATCCATAAGACCAATTTGTAATAAAGCTCCAGGCGCATTTTAACAATGCCTCAAACAGACAAGTGAATGTTTTTTTTTTCCCACCGACTTGGCAGCAACCGCCCTGAGATAAATCTTTTCTGCACCGTCTGCCTGAACAAGCTTGTAATAAAACAGAAGCAATGGAGACAGAGGAGGGGTGAAAGCGAAAGAAATGAGAGCTTGAGGGCTGAGTAGAATTTGCTGCGCGGGAGTTAATGAAGAGAACGAGAAAGAGCAGAAGAATGGGAGATGGTTAAGTGAGTATGTCACCAGAGAGCTGCACTGAAAGCCCACACAGGGTGGTGGAAACCTTAAAGTACTTACGGCTCTCTGAACATCTCGACCCTCTTCTTCCCACAACACAGGTGGATCACTGAATACATCTGACTCGTATTCTGCCTAAGGCCTTCCATCCTTTGAGCACGCTCTTTGCTGTCACAATACTCACGTTGGTCGGGGGGAGGGGGAGGGGGGAATTACTCTCTTTTGTTCTTCAGCTATGGCCAGACCAAATAAGCTAAGGGATAATGGGAACTGGCCGAGAGCTTCGTTTGCATCTCTATGTGTGGCTGTGCGACAAAGCTTGCAGCGCTGAATAGGATTCACCGCGCACTACTAATGAATTTTGGCGCTGTGATGATATTCAAATACACAGGATGATCCCGGCTGAATATTAAAATTGTAATTCAATATCCCCGACTCAGACCCTTGAGCTCACATTTACTGTTCACTTTGCATCATTTGCATCACCTTGAACCACAGTGTATGAGGCTTCTACAGAGGAGAGGTTGGTGACGACAGTAACGTCGTCATCTCTGCTGGAGCTCTCGATATCGATGGTGATGGAGCGTTCAATCTCGCGATGGAGACTCGTAACCATGCCTGTGGGGTAGGTCACATTGGTCAGGCGACCCTCGCTGTCGTACCTGGGAGAGGGGACATTTCATTGGGTCAGTATATGTGTTGAAACACATTTGGCGCCAAACCTGCAGTATGTGAAAAAGATAAGATACAGAAAGGCCTTTAAGCTTTTGACTGTAGTTTAAAACATGCCACCAGGGAGCAGTATAATCCTGCGCAAGCAGTGATAAAAGTGCATGTGGTTCTCGTTGGGTTCCAAAATACACATATCAAAACCGCACTTGTCCCACACACGCAGACTCACTGGTAGAAGGTGGTCCATCCGGTCTCATCGGCTTTGGTGGCGAGCAGGCCTGTGTTGCCGCTGTAACCCATGAGAGCCACCTCTTGACCCACAGCTGAAACACTGCGCAGTCCTCCGCTTGGGTCCAGACCCAAGGTCACCACTTGATTCTCTGGCAGGAGCACCAGTCGAAGCAGGCCGGAGCCTCCTCCCTGGCCCAGTCCTTCCCTCCTTACTTTGACTGTGTTGTTGCAGTTGTCGACCAGACTTGCCAGTTCACCATCAGGGCCATAGGTGAAGTTATAGAGCGGCTCTCCAGTCACAAGACTGATGGTTTGGACGTGCAGGCCTTCCCTATTGAATACATACAGTTCTTGTTCCCTGGGTGATGCCACCTCATACCGCGCCCCACCAGATCCTCCAAAAGCTGGGCTAGAGAGGGCCGGGCCGGGCCGATTGGCTCGAACGGCTCTTATGCGTATGTTGTTGAGGTCTGCAATGAAGAGTGTCCCGTCAGGGGACACAGCCAAGGAGGTAGGAGAGTTCAAGCCGGCATCTGGGGCATAGCCATCGTCGCCATAGAAGCAGTTGCAATTGACGTCGTTCTTGCAGTCGCAATCAGAGGCAGCCCCAGCCAGAAGGGAGATTTCTCCATTAGAGCTTACCTAAAATGAACATGGAAGAGGATATAGTGTTTAAAAAAAAAAATCCATCTTGAAGAATGTAAAGAAAGCGCAAAACAGCTGTGACCTACCTGTCGAACTCGGTTTATCTTTTTCTCGTCTGTCTCAGCGATGTAGAGAGTGCCGGTGTGAGACAGGGCAATGGCCGTGGCGCTCTCAAGAGCAGCGTGGATTGCCAGTTTGCTGAGGCTATAGTCAATCCCTGGCACCTGGCAATGCATGGGCCGACCTGCTATGATGCTCACCTGTAAGAACAACAATGAAAAGGCATTTACATGCACGCATTTATTTGTAGCACTTTTGCAAGTGCCCGTAAAACTCAACATATCATCCCTGGAGGTCATATGCAGCCATTTTTAATTCAATCATGCAACCTCGCAGAGCTCACTCTTGGCATAAGTTTTACTTTTTCTATGGCTCCCTCAAAAAGAAGGACCGGACTGAACGAGAGAAGAGAAGAAGAAATATACACTGCACTTGACCTCATTTTGTTGCCCTCATTTTTGTGGCACCATAGGCACTGTCCCTCGCTAACAATCTGAAGGCTGAATGTTTGATTGTTTGTACATTTTACAGATAACTCTTTCTCCATAAAGATTGAATGTTTCATTGATTTGTTCCACAGTCGTGGTGGTTAACTTTTGTTTACAGGTCAATGGCAGGTCAATTATGATGGTTTAACCCTAGAACATATTATTTCCATTTTTTTCCTTTGAGAAAGCTGAATAAATAGAAAGTCAAGCAGTATCCCAAAGGGCATTTTGTTATGGTGTTCCACTGCAGTCGAATATTTCTCGAGCTAACCGTCAAGCGGCGTGAAACTGTTGTCCGCCAAATTGCAAGAAAACAAAATTCACATCAAAGCCCTTTTGTCAAAGTGGACATTTCGATTTGGAGCGGTTGTGGTACAAACCTGGTGGTTCTCTGTAATGCGCAGAATGACGTTGTTCTCCAGGACATAGAGAGAGTTGTCCATAGGGTTCACCGCTAAGTCTGTGGGCCACTCCAGGCGTACCTAGCATGCAGATGCGAAATGTTTCACGTTAGCTAATCGACAGTACAGTATACACTAATGGTGACCATTTGAAAAGAGGCCAAGGTCTCCTCTTCATTTTGGAAATGAAGTGCAGTCCTCACTCTCTTTTGATCCAGTCATTTATCCGTGGACTCTTTAATAAAGGTCCCTATCAGAACGTCCCCCAGCCGCCGGCTGGCTGCGGTCCACGAGATTGTCATAGCTCAGCACTCACAAAGCCGTTAGATCATCATCCATCATGCCGTCACCTCCTCGCTTCTCCCCCACTTCTGAGTGACTCTCTTACCTGGCTCACGTCCATGCTGGTGTCACAGCTCAGTGGTCGCACGGCAGTCAAATCGTTGGCTCCCAGTAAAGTGGAGATGATGCCGTTTTGGTCCACCTTACGGATCATAGTGGCATCCACAAAGTACATGAGTCCATTTTTATCCACGGCGATGCCTGCAAATGCCAGACGAGCGCCGTGAATGATGACTCATAACTCATAATTCACAAGCGTCGGAGACATCTTAAGTCAATTAAAGCTCGGTCTTTCCACCTGCAGAAAACGAATAGCACCCTGGACTGCTGATTCTCACAATTTCTCATCGGATAAGAAGGACCAAAGTGTTTCAGTGATGGAACGGGTGCTGAACTTTTTGATAACTGTTAGTTTTGGGATGAGTCATCAACTGAGAATGTGAGCTGATGCTGTTCCCAAAGGGAAATTCGAGACTGCAAGTGGCTTTTTTTCCAGGCACTGACGATTTTCCCACCAACCGCTTTTCACCCCGATTCCCAGCCTGTACTTTTCTTTGTTACACTTTTTTTTTTCATTTCCAAGTGGTGCTGTGTCAGTCTTACTAGTCAAACAGGCAAGCGTGCTCCAAAATATCTTCCCGGCACACTGATATGTAAGAACAGATGGGGGCACAGCCAAGGGCACGCAGCAAATAAGAAACAGAGACAGTGAAAGAAAAAGAACAAATACTGTAAGCAAAGAAACTGTGTACAGGCTGCGGTGACAGGTAAAAGTGACTCATTGCCTTTTTTTAGCCAATCACTTGTAACGCAACTCAATACAGCCGCGATCCCATGAAAGTATACGCTACACACATTAGTGTCACTGTCGGGAACTGTGATGTTGTGACACCCTTGACAGTTTGGTGTCATGGTTCGAAGATCTAATAATCCACTGAAATTATTCTATTCCAGTATTACATTTTTCATTAACCTGATTTATGGCCTGCTTTTGTCGTCGCCCTGCTTAAGTGCAAATTGTATGCCCCCCCCCCCAAAAAAAAAGGAAAGACAAGACCATCAAAAGCAAAGACATCCACAGTTTAAGGCTTAAACATGAGTTTCTCGTTGAAATCAACGGCTAAATGACCATGATGTCACATTTTACTTTTTTAACTTTTATTTTCTGGGTATGATCATGTTGAATGGAATTAGGATGTTATATACTTTCCAAAATGTGCATTCTGTTACGTCAAATAAATCACCCAAAAAAAAAAAAAAGGACTGACCATCACCAATGAAAGCCCCTCAGCACGAAAGGTAACGAAAAAAATCGCCATCATCTGCACATATTGTCCGCTGAAATGATCGACACAGTAGCTTGCATAAATAAGCGCCTTTGCAAAAGTGAAAATAATGAAAACCATTACCCGCAGTTATCCTCATTCATCATTTGATTACATATAAATCTGAAGAATGAGATCAATCAGAATCAATGAATGTAATGGCGGCTCTGTAATCATGACTAAATAGACCGTTTGCTCGCTCCACATGGGTTCATTGCACTTCTGCTGAGCCGCTCACCTTTTGGGCTCATAAGTGTAGCTTCAGTGGCTTTGCCGCCATCTCCGCAGCGTTCATCAAAGGGCAGGCACTGTTCTCCAGTCCCAGCCACAACCTCTGCATTGTCAGACAGCAGGCGACCGCCGGTTAATGAGCGAACACGGTAAATTCGTCGGGAGTTGGTGTCTGAGATGAACAATGCCCCAGATAATGGATCAACTGCCAGGAAGTACTTATTGGTTGGATTATTACTGTGGGGGACAGAAAAAAAAAGATCATTTAAGGGAATAGCTTTCATTTGATATTTTCAGTCACAACTTCAAGTATGTTAATTTGTATAACGGTGATGTCAGATAAAACCGTCTTACCTGTGTCTAAAATCTTTGTTCCTTCAAAGAAAAAAGACAAAACCAAAGTCAATCAAAATGGTCGCTGACAAAACTCATAAAAAGAAAGAGTTTCATTCAGAACCCTCTAAGATGTTTCATGTGCTGTTTTTACCTTAATTCTAGGATGCCGGTGGTGTTCATGGACGGGAAAATCCTGCGTACAAAATTGAGATCCCCTACGTAGAGGCTGCCATCGGTGCCCATCGCCAAGGCAACCGGTGCGAGCAGTTTGTTGCCATCCGCAAGGCCGTTACAACTGGGGCAGGAGATGCTTCGTCTGCGGCCGTTACCCATAATGCTGCTGATGACTGGAGGCTGCTCAGTCACAAAGATGTTTTCTCCGCTTCCCTTGTGAAGAATGCCTGCACACAACAGATAATAAAGATCAGAAGTGGATTCTTTCACACACACAAATAGGGTGTGTGTGGCCCCCCTGAAGGCTGAGCTCTGGCGACGGGTCTGCATATCGCATCAGTGGATGTGGAACCAAACAGAAAAAATAAAAAATCTTTCATGATAGGGAGCTTGAAGTTGAGACTGAGACATTTCTGGACTAAATCAGTGTCATAAAAACTCAAACCAATCTGAAGACAAACTGCGCACAGTATGCTTGTAGACTTACTGCTTCGTGTGTTGAGTATATGGTGCTTGTCCAGTGACCAGCCACCAAGATTGGTGGGATCCAGTTCATAACCTTGCAGGATGACAGTCCTTTTCTCCCACAGAATGAGACTGGCGCATGACTCGTACTCGTAGCCCACAGACACTGCGTATTCGAAAGTTAAACAAAGAAACAGAGGAAATAACGTAGGTGACACAAAGAAAAAGTGCCGGATCAATTTAAAAAAAAAAAAAATAGAGCAAATCCTCACCGCACCAAAGCTAGTTAGCACCTGTGCCCAACTCTGCATTAACACTTTACTAACACTCGCAAATGCCGCTAAATCAACAAGCCATTGTGTTAATTGGGCTGATTACCTGCAGGACTTTGAACATTACATGTCACACTAACTGTGTTAAAAAAATAAATGAATAAAAAATCTTCACAGCTTCACAATCAAGGGCAAGTATCTGGCTCACAAAAAGGAAAAAGATAAAATAGTTGTAGTTTGGGCTGAGTTGAGATGCCGTGTTTATGGCAAGTCCAATACCATTGCGTATGAGAGAATATACTGTAATTGTTAAAAGGAAACGTGTGTTCACATACTAATTGCCATTTGAGTCTCTGAGAGAGAGAGAGAGAGAGAGAGTTGTTTTCAACATCCCCAACCCTTTTACTGCGAACAGCAGGCAGGGGTGCTGTAAGGGGCCGAAATGTGACCCAGAGCCCATGATTGACAGGGGCCAAAGAAGACTTAAAAACATTTTTTTTTAATTGGCTTTAAAGTGGTGGGGCCTAAAATTATATCAGAGGTGGCACCATTTTCAAACAATAACATAGCTATGGTATGCGCATATCTGCTCACGGGAAAATCGATTCAACCACAAAGATGCTAGATAGGGGGTTGACATTCACGGAAAATTAGGCGTCACGAAGTGAAAGGGTTTCCCCAAGCGAAGCGTTTGCATGATTATAGTCGACGGTGGTGCTGTCTTGTGTTTTCGTGGGCTGAGTAGTGTTTGTGACAGCAGAATGTAATATCACAGAGCAATCTGCTCGCTGTTAACTGCAAACTCACTCTGATTGCTAATAACCCTTCTCTAAAGTTCCGGCTGACTGGCTGAACCAAATGCGGTTGCAATGAAATATAGACGTACTGTATTTAAAAAAAAAAAAAAAAATAACTGTGGCTTTACTGTATAGTAGATTGAGGCTGACTTTTTGGTGAAAATCTGTTTCAGGCTCCCTAATTAGAACTCTCTCTGCCCGTCATGCCCCGTCCGCTATTAGTGGCAAAGTTTCTAATCTTCTCAGTAAGCGCAAGGTTTGGAAGAACAAAAGCCTCGGCCCCTTAGCAACTACTGTCAAATTCATTTTGTCACTCATACTCACCGACAGCCTCGGAAAGCCCGTAGACCCTCTGCCCATAGGCATCGGTCTTATCCCAGATGTAAGTGTAGGCTAAATTAGGCGAGGCGTGGAACCACTTCTGAAAGAGGTGGCCCTCCACCGCCACCATGAGATGGACTTTGAGCAGACCCATGGACAGCGTGGAGGGGGTCATGGTCACCTTGAGCAGGGAGCGGTAACCCTGCGTCCTTGAACTTAGGTAGCACAGCTTTAGACTCGTGCCGGGCACCTCGATCTGCTCATGCAGCACCTAGAAGACAGAGAGAGGAGATGACAAGAGAAAAGGGATTAGTGGAGGGATTAGCCAGAGGGGGAATAATGAAGGTCACGGTTCCACTGACGGCTGAAGGACAGAAGCAGGGAAAATATAAGGAAATAGAGAAGGAGGAAACGAAGGAAAGAGGGAATCTATTGAAGCGAAAGTAGAAAGACAGGCGTAAAGAGGAGCGGGAAAAGAGCGAGGGAACCAGAAGGAGGATTAGCCGGCTGCCAGGGGTCAGTGGTACTGCACCTGTGTCTCCGGTATGATGGGTTTCTCCCCTGGCTTGGAGCTGAAGAAGGAGGAGAGAGGGGATGCAATCACAAGAGGATCAGGCCTGATGAAGCCACTCAGGTCACAGCCAGGGATTGTGTTCTCCTCTGTCTTAAGCACCACAGTGTCCATAGCATAAAACTGGCTCCAGGGCAGCCACACGGTACGCTCCTGGCTCAGGAAGGGGGCGCGTTCGAATCGCAGAGTCAGTGATGCGCCACCGTTAGCTATCAGGTCAAACCTGGAGAGGTTTGCAAGGAGAGGGCGGGAATGAGGCACAGAGGGGGAGTGCTGCAGAGGATGAAATGTTACACCGACTCAAACATGATAGCGCTTCTCTTCTTCTTATAACACTAACTACACTGCCGCTTTAGGAAAAACTGAACAAACAAAACACACAAACAAAAAAGACCTGAAATAAAAGTGTCACAAATCAGTTCGGATCAAGTCCAAAACATCTGAAGGTAATAGCAAAGAATGTCATATTTTTTCTCGCATATTTTGTCAGATGTTCTTCTCGCCGCGAGTTCATTACAAATAGGGAGCTTGAAAGAAGATCTTCTTATTGTTATGATAAACAGCAGGAGGTGTGTTTCCGGAGGTGTTTTGAACAGGTGACTTCTCTCAGGCGCCAACAACTGCAAGAGAATAGCATTAATTTATGACACGTTTACTGAAGCCGGTGAAACTGCCCCTGACAGCCAACGTCACCTGTTACGCTAACCCAAGTTTGATGTTCTGATGTTGCGGCATCGGTTTCATCAAACTGAAAAAATGCTGCAAAGAAAGCGCTGGTACAACTGCGGAGACGGCGAACGATGCTCAACGGACCTAAGAAAAGAAAATCAGAATTTGCTTAATTTATGAGTGGAGGTCAGTTTGAAGAAGCGATCATTCTTCATTTCAATCAGTAGCCCGCAGTCTGACTTAAATCCAATTCAACTTGCCGGAACTGGACAACCCATGTGACCCTTAAACCAGTGCTGCAAAGTGTAATTTCTGAAAAAAGAAGGGAAGAAAACTGCCGAGGGTTAGTGAACAACTTCGTACAAATGTCACCAGGTGCAAATTGAAAAAGTAGCATCCTCAACTACTGTTATGCTGGAGGACATTGGAATAAGCACAGCTCAGGATGAAATGTTTTCTGGGAACAATTATCGCAATGTTGATTGAGTTCGGTCCCACTTAAAAAGCTCCGCAAATAAGAATTTTGTCTGTTGTAAGAAATGTACTTTTTGCATTTCACACAAAATCAAAATGTTGCATTCTGTCCTTTTGTCGACTTCCCTGTCCATATTTCTTGCCATGTTAAATCAACAGGCATTTTCTGATGAGACTGCATTTGCGTTTTGCAAATCACAATCTGATGATTGAGAATCTAATCGAATCTCATTGTATCTAATCTCATTTTAGCGAACCTAATGAGGTAGTTTGAAATGCTCAACAAGGATGTCTAGTGTACATACATTCCATCCTGTCGCGTCAGCGTGTATCCATAGTGGGGGTAGTTGACAAAAGACACGTTCACCCCCACCAGAGGCGTTCCATCTGTCGTCAGCACCTGACCCCGGATAAGAGATGCCAAACTGGAAAAAGACAAAAGAGATAAAATTGAAAGAGTGGTGGGCAATGTGTGAGTCAAACCATTCATCATTCCATTTGATTAATTGCTCCGCCTTTCAATTATTTCATTCGCCCTTTTATCTATGTCACTGGCTTTCGACCATTTATTAATTAGCCACAATCAGGAGGCACCGCAGTCTAGATTACCGCCAGTCAATCTCATACACACACAGTGACTTACATGTATATATAATTATATATACATATAGTCGTGTGTGTGTGTGTGTGTGTGTGTGTGTGTGTGTGTGTGTATGGACACACCCACGTGCGTGTGTCTGTGTGTGCGTGTTTATTGCACATGACATCATCTTTTACATAGTCTGCACGTGTAAGCATTTCCAGACTGAGCGAGTCTTCTGAAAACTGCAGAGGTTCCTGACCTACTCTGCTTTGGCTGCTGGAAAATCTGAATTTATGAGCATGCATCTTTAGGTCAGGCTTTTACTGGAAGCACACTACATCATTGTAAAGATTTTTTCTATGGTAGAGATTTTTTCTATCAACCTTCAAAAAGGATCACCGTTAATTTCCAATTAATGGCTGCATTTGGTAATTTGGTAAAGATGCTGCAAATGACATAAAATTTCCCTGTCAGGGTGACTGCTCCGACCTTTTTTGCCATTGAGAATGAGCTACAAGTTGAACCACAGCCACTTTGCACCGAGCGGAAACATTTGAAGCGGCGTCTGACATCTTGAAGTCAGACATTTACTGGAAGCACACTACACCATTGTAAAACCTCCCCAAAACTGGTGATATTCTATACATATACTCATGGGAATATTGGGGTACTGGTGATGTTCCTTCCTGTCAACCTTTCCCTGGAGCCACAGTTGTGAGCGACGTTTGTATTCCCAGTAGACCAACAAGCACACTTCTTGGTGGTGTATCCACCGAGGTAATTTGTCTCCTGTCATCATATCTGATGTAATATTCATGAACAAAAATCACATGATGCTGGACAGTGCGTGGTCTTTAAACTTTTGACTTTTAGACACTCTTGTCAAATGTGTAGCTTGAGAGCCTGAAGTAGCACTATTTGATCCCGCCGGGCACAATCAGAATGCCTTCCCGCCCCAATTTCCATTGTCAAAAATTGTAACACTAAATTACAGATGTACTCCAAGTCAAATGATCAGGGTCATTTTCAGGCTTCTGCACAGCTTGCTGATGAGCTGATCATTTGTATCACGTGTGTTGGAGGAGGCAAAAACATGTAAAACAGGCTGAAATAGGGGCTCCGGAGGACTGGACTTGGGCACCCCCATCTACGCAGTCCCAAGCACAGTGGTTTAGTGTACTAGTTTGTTGGAGCGAGGTACAATAGTGTACTCATAGTTTACACAGCGGACCCCAGTTTGCATTACAGGTGGCTTCAATATGCTAAAATAAATAAATAAATACAGATATGAACATACTGAAAGGGGAGATCAAAATATTATTTGCAATAATATGCTCTAGGGCCGCTTGGTGGTCCAATGGTTAGCACATCCGTCTCACAGTGCAGTGGTGCAAGATTCAATTCCGGCTCCGGCCTTCCTGTGTGGAGTTTGCGTCTTGCGTGGGTTTTCTCCGGGTACTACCGTTTCCTCCCACATTCCAAAAACATGCATGGCAGGCTGATTGAACACTCTAAACCCTCCCTAGGTGTGACTGTGAGTGCAAATGGTTGTTCGTCTATGTGCGCCCTCTGATTGGCTGGCAACCAGTTCAGGGTGTCCCTACTGCCCGATGGGGGCTGGGATATGCTGCAGCATGCCCGCGACCCTCATGAGGTTAAATGGATTAGAAAATGGATGGATGCTCTATTCGCCCACACTAATCGCATTGTGAGCCTCACATGATCAAACCCAGAGTGACGTTCAAAATGTGATGTCGAATTCAGTCGACAGTAGGGGGCGGTGCAGGATAAAATGTTTTCCCCCTGAGATCGATCAAAACAGCTGGATTAGTCTGCTTAATTGTTATTCCACGAATGCAATATTAATCAGGGTAGAGATTTTTTCTATCAACCTTCGAAAATTATCACAGTTAATTTCAAATTAATGGCCGTATTTGGTGCTGCGAATGACACAAAATTTCCTTGTCAGGGTGACTGCTCCGATATTTTTTGACTTTGAGAATGAGCTACAAGTTGAACCGCAGCCACTTTGCACCAAGCGGAAACATTTGAAGCGGCGCTGGCATCTGATTAGAATCCCAAGGTAAGAGACCCAGTTGAAGAGATTACACAGCTTAACTGGCTCGGGAATTCCTTTTGGATCCCTCAGGAGAATGTCTTGTTACTGAAGTGTTTCATCTTATCCGGTTTTCTGCCACTGTGTCCAGATAATTGTGGATGTGACACAGATATACCATATTGTTAGCACAAGGTGCAAGATTTGGTAGTCATTTTTTTAATGGTATAAATCTGTCGTCTGTGAACAAAATTTATCGTTAGCCGGACACTTGCACGAAAGAAACTCCCAGTCAGTGACATAAAACCACAAAGGACAACTGAAACAGATACAGTCCCAACATACACTACTAAAATGGTGATACTCAATCTGTGTATCATTCATTGACGATACTTGTCGAGAGAAATGGGGTTTGTTTACATTTTCAAAAGTGTGTCCTTCAACTCTTCATCGGAATAGAGGAGGGAAGTCGGGAGGGTTAAGTCAATCTCCAGATCAGTCTTTGTTCTTGTCGGTTCTTCCTTACCTGGAATTGAATGGGTTTTCTCCTGGAATGACATGGGTGCCATCCCGTGACACAAGCATCTTGACGCGATCGTAGAAGGAATGGACACGGGTCTGGGACAAAGGGATCTGTTGAATGACTTGCAGAGGGTCCCGGGAGCCACGGCACAGGGGACTGTTTTGACAGGGACTCTGGATACAGCAATCTGGGTCCATGCAGTCAGTTAGTCCATCTGAGAGAGGGGCAGAAGCAATAAAGTTGTGCACATTGAAAACACATTGGACATAGTTATTTTAACAATGAATTAAACATGAGTATTCTTATTAATGGCTTCAAATAGAGATTAATTCAAATTCATGAAATACCATTGATAACTTTCCGTAAACTTTTTGTTTTGTTTTGTTTTGCAAATCTCCATCCCTGCATTTTTTTGTTTTCTGCTTGCCCCTGTTCACCTCCTTCGTTGTCCTTGTTGTCGGCGCAAGATGTCTCCATGGCAACACTGCAACCAGGGCCCCTCCAGCCAGTCTGACATTCACAATGCCAACTCTGCTGTCCCATGGTGCATTGCCCATTCCCATTACATAGGTTAGGACAGCCATCTGGGTAGGATAGGGGGCAAGATAAGAGAGGTCCAGGGAATGGGAGGATGGAAGAGAGGCGGGATGATGCTTTTTTTAATCATTAAAAAAAAACAAACAAACAACTAACACTTAGTCTGATGCAATCTGACATATGCTCAAGTGGTTTTGATGGACTAATGAATTTCATAAATGACTAAACAGTTGAATGGTGTTCGTAACTATGGGTCAATAATAAAATTCAGCATGTCACTTTTAGTATACACAGTAAATTAGTCTTTGTAAGTGTCTGTCCATTGCTCTCATTTATGAATCAGTGCATGTAATGGGATTTTGATGGCCTGGGAGTAATGCTTTCAGATGGGACAATACAAGTGTATTCAATTAAATGTGAGCATTCGCATGCATGTGTACGCATAAATGGGCGCACTCTCCAAAAGATGAATTTTGACTGTTATAACCTAAGGCCCTAGAGCTAAGAGTGTTCTGCCACTAGCATGGCAAAGCTATCATCAATTTAACAAGATTGAGTGAAAATCAGACATTCAAAGCAAAAAAAAAACTTTGCATAATTCAAGGCGGGTTGTCAAAGCATGAATAATGGAAACAGAGTGACGACAACAACAAGAGGCAACAACATCAAAAAGCGCCACAACAACAGTACATTGGGTAAAGCTGTGGAAAACAACAACATAAAAAAAAAACAGTTTAGTATTACAATAAAACAATTATAATAATAATTTAAAAAAAAATTACCACAAATGAAATGGTATCATTATCATAGACTAAAATTATCATGACCAATATTGTCATGCAATTTAAATCATGCAAATAACAGAAAATGGGAGCAGCACTTTTGATTTTGAAAACTAACGTGTTAATATCCACAACCCATGGACATTAGATATTGTCAAAGAGCAACAACCAATTGTTTTTTTCCACCTCAAAGGGCTTGATATTTATAGATGGCCATCTGTGGTCTTGCGCAAAAACTGACACATTTTAATTTTTGTGAGCGTGCAAGGCTTGTTGAGGGTTTTGGCGAATTTTGCAGACAGCTCTGGGCGTTCCGGCAAACTGAGGCATTTCATTCACAAATATGACAACAGTGTAGTTGCAACCCTCGAAATCATTGAACAAATCACTTCACTGGAGGCATTGTGATTATTATTATGGTTTTCATAACATTTTTTAAATCACTCCCTGGCCACGGCACGTGTGTGTGTGTGTGTGTGTGTGTGTGTGTGTGTGTGTGTGTGTGTGTGTGTGTGTGTGTGTGTGTGTGTTTTTGTCAGACATGGGCATGAATGATCATGGTGCAAGACTTCACGTGTGTGTGTGTGTTTTGGTCAGACACGGGCATGAATGATCAAGGTGCAAGGCGTCCAAGTTCCCACGTCACAGCGGTGAGATCTTTGATCGCTTTGGCCATCTTTATACATCATCCGCCTGTGGAGTTCTGCTCGCAGTTCCTCATAAACATACTTGACGTGCTTTGATCTCCTGCATGGACTGCAGTAATTCGATTTCTGCTTGTGGAGGAATACGGCTCCCACACGTCAATTTGAAAGGAAATGATAGGAGCCGCTTCCACTGGCTGCGTTCACGCCCACAACAGTGCAAAACGCCGTTTTTAACTGCGCCAAGCTGTGTGCATCTGCGAAAAAAACCCAAACTGGTCTCGCCCGCCCATGCACAGATTTATGCCATGCCGCGTGCCAGACTTGCACTGGGCATGAATTTAGCACTTTATCCAGGAGATAGCCGTTCCTGATTGAGGTACCAGACCGAGCCGTTTGGTTTTAGAGAGTTACCAGAGTCTAGAAATTTCATGACATGCAATCCTTAAATATTATATAGATTTGGATTTGAAAAACAAAACAAAAACAAAAACAAACAAACAAACAAAAAAAAAAAACAATGCCCCAAATAAAGGGTTAAAAAAAACTTAGCATTCGATTTTATTTACATGGGAGAAAGTATTGCCTGTCAGTGTTCCTCCAAAGCAACCGTCCAACTTACAAAAAATGCAAACTGCATCTCCTCAAAAATCTATGTGTCACATTCTAATCTGTCAGGAAGAGCGAAAGACTCCAGGACACTCAATGACAATGTTTTCTCCAGCAGCAAAAAGACTCACAAATAAACTTATCACAGTGATTTCCTCAATGAATAAGGACACAAGACTTGCATTTCTACGCCAAGAGGGGAAGGCAAAGACGGGATTGATCGATAAAAGAATATGTGCATGCACGCCACTGCAGGCATCGCAGGCACACACACACACACACACACACACACACACACACACACACACACACAGTCACAACCCCACACAGACAGAGGAACAGGCACAGCAAGAGACACACAAAATCACAGGCACAACCGGAACAAGAACACACTCATAGACACACACGGACGTGCACGGACGCGCGCGCGCGCACACGCACACACACACTCAAGATATGAGTTTGAATCGTGTGAAGGCACAGAGTGAAGAGGACGGACTAAACTGAGCGAGAGATTATGAAAATGAAACCTTTTTCATTGAGTCCTGCTCTGTAGATTAATGACCACATTTTCACTCAAGTTGCAGTATGGGGTTTTGCCCTCTAACAAATCGCTACGTCAATAAAGCCATGCATTATGAATATAAATAGTGCAATCTAAGCCATGGCAGCAGCTAAATTAACAAGAGTTTCTCCGAGATTGGCATTCTATCATATGTCTAAAGCACCAGCAGATGAGAAAAAGTCAACAAAGGACTTTGAGAAAGACAATGTGCCATCTTGTTTGAACAAGAGCTAATTCTGTGGATGGACAGGGCGGAGAATGGTTAATGACTCCGTTTTTTTCTTTTGTTTGTTTTTTTTAATCCATAATTATTACGAGTCTCTGCATCAGCGGACCGTTCGTGATTGTGAACTATCGGTCTGAAGTACATTGTTCCTCAGCATTGAACTTCAAGAACAAAGGCAGTTCGCAGTGATTGCCTATTAAATGCAGCTGTCATTTAAAACAGTGATCCTTATGAAAGAACGAGACAGCACAATCCATAGCGGGCATTGATCGGCTTGCCTGGGCAGGCCAACATGGGGATCCTCTCTCTTCAATGCCAGGCCTCAGTCAATAGCCACTCATACTAACTTGAATAAAGTGAGATTTTCAGAAACTATTAACTCCACCCTTCCCACTAATGTAGCAGTTCTCGGAAATCCCCAGAAAAAGGGCCGAAATTGCCTCTGCTCATGGGTCGGCACACACACACACACACACACACACACACACACACACACACACACACACACACACACACACACACACACACACACACACTCGACGTCCCCG